ACAAACATTATGCCAACGTTGGGCCAACATACTACTACCAACTTGATAGGACACGTTCTTTAAGGGTGTATTACAAACAATGGGCCAACGTTGGGCCAACATACTACTAACAACTTGATAAGGCACTTTCTTTAAGGGTGTATTACAAACAATGGGCCAACGTTGGGCCAACATACTACTACCAACTTGATAGGACACGTTCTTTAAGGGTGTATTACAAATAATGGGCCAACATAATACTACCAACTTGATAGGACACGTTCTTTAAGGGTGTATTACAAACAACTGGCCAACGTTGGGCCTACATATTACTACCAATTTGATAAGGCACTTTCTTTAAGGATGTATTACAAACATTGTGCCCACGTTGGGCCAACATACTACTACCAACTTGATAGGACACGTTCTTTAAGGGTGTATTACAAACATTGTGCCAACGTTGGGCCAACATACTACTACCAACTTGATAGGACACGTTCTTTAAGGGTGTATTACAAACAATGGGCCAACGTTGGGCCAACATAATACTACCAACTTGATAAGGCACTTTCTTTAAGGATGTATTATAAACAATGGGCCAACGTTGGGCCAACATACTACTACCAACTTGTAAATACACTTTCTTTAAGGGTGTATTATAAACATTGGTCCAACGTTGGGCCAACATAGGAATTCCGTCATGTTCGAGAAGGTTGACTTGGTAACATTGGTTCAACGTTGGCCCAACGTTGTTCCCCCAACGCCAACCATACAACCTTTAACAAATGTTGGCCCAACATAGTCATGCTATCTGGGGTGGAGGCACCCATTCTCTATCTACCTTGAATAAATCTCTCTCAAGACAGAAGATTTGGGTTTTAATGGTGGCCATGCTCATATTTTGGGAAGGATATTCTTATCCACCCATGCTGTTGCCGAGATTTGACCATATCTGACAAATGAACTATTCTCCTTATAAAAATTAACTTGCGTGGAAAGAAATTTAAAAAAAAACTCAGAAAAATCCTTCAGGTTTTGTGACAGAAGGCTATGGGGGAGGTCACGTGCCCTCCTATTAGCACATGATTCGCACATGAGCAGAAAGGTGACAGATGTGCGTTAGAATTAGAGAGGACTATATGACCAACACTGAAACCAAATACTGTTTCTTTTATGGAAGTTACTCAATTAGTTCGCGATTTTTTTATCATCCTCGTATTTTAAATGGTTTCGAGTGAATAAATGAACTTGAACTTGAACTTGACGATGTTATATCTGAAGGTAACAGACTAATGAACAATAATTTGCATTTATTGCTTTTCTGTGGGTGATTTCATATAATTAATAACAATTAAATTTCTAAGCAGACAAAACGGATATGAATAAGAGAAAAACACCCAAGATCACAAAGATTCCAATATAGGATCTTTTAAATAAAAACATAGAAAGGGTGATATTTAAAGAATGACTCCATAAATGATGAAAATAATTCAGATGTAGAGGAAAGATTGTCCTGATTTTGAGACAATGTCGCTGAATTGTAATCACTGGTTATGGAAAGATCGAACTGGAATCTGGAATAATTATCAAAAGAAAATTAATAACAAACTCATGAAGTGCTACAAAAGAAATCCCAAAGCCACTGTGGTTATCTTATTTGAAGAACATCTGAAATAATTAACTTTCTACAATTATTAGGAAATTGTTTCTGTTATTTGGTAATTTAAAAAAAAGACTAGTGTCTTAAACCTTTGACTCCTGAGCTGAAATAATATACTAGAATCGAAGTTTTTCAGTCGCAACAGTATCGCCATAGGAACTGTGGTATCATTTTTTGAGTGAACATTATCAGTTAGAAACTTTCAGCTTATGAATCATTTAACATTTTGTCATCAACTGGCTGTTGATTAGTTGAACATATGATCCCAGGGTTCAGCAATTAATAGTTTATTAATTAATGCAGCCATGGCCCATTCTGCCAAGGAGCAAGTACGAGGGCTGTTCGGAAATTATTGAGACAATTACATTTACTCCATAAAGGACGGAGATAATATCAGGAAAATTCATCAACATTTTATAAAGAACGAATAAAACACTTATGCAAAATTTCCAATTCCTATGATAATAAGAAAAGTTTTGGTGAAATAATAAACATGCATATGTCTATCGACCCGGAGCAGCATCACTATGTCATTTTAACGACACGTCAGCCAGGGATGGTTTTGCATGTAAAACGATCGGGAAGCGTTTAATCTTTTTCCTTCTTTGTTATTACATATAACAGTACAAAAATGAAACAGTCTTATTTCTTAAACTATTCCTTAAAAATGTATGCTGTTGCTACCCGAGTGTAATATTTTTATTTGTGGGAAAAGATGACTTAAAATCATGCAGTGTCGATTTATGCAACGAGGGTCAACGATATTGATACTATAACGATATTAATACCGTACGTAATAAGTGATGGTCGTCCGGAGCTTTTGATTTTACTCTGGTTGAATTAATTGTAAAAAAAAAAATGTATACCAATGAAATAACAAACCCTTACACATTATTTTTTTTTCTTGTAGTTATTATTTTAGCAGGTCGTTGTGTCTGGAAAAAAGTTCTACATTGCGCTACACAAAATTTTAGGTATGTTCGCTGCTCTGCCCTTGACGTCAAAATCCATTTTTTTCGTTCTTAGCAGATTTCTCTACCGCGCTTAATTTTTTTATGATCTCCGTATTTCTGATCAAAATTCTATCAAAGTTGCACGACATGAATTTGAATTAAAGCTGAAAAATTATACACATAAACAGAATTATTTTCGCTCTTATTATGGGTCCTCGAAGAGTTAGAACGTTGGTGTTACATATTTTCAATATCTGATTTCGAGACTGCTCCGGGTACCCTTACTGATGACGCATTTATATACCATTGTACAGAAAATATTTAATATTTGTAAAATATTTTTCGCTTTTATTAATTCTTAATGTATGTCAAACGTATATGCAAATTTGCACAGAAAGACGTTCATTAGAAAGCAAAATATACACAATGTCTATATAATTTTCGAACAGCCCTCGTAAATTCATATTACGTGTATTTTTGTATTTGTTGAAGTTGTTTCCTTTATTAAATTTTATAAACTAAAATCTTAGTGTTTGGCTTCTCTGATAATGTTAATTTTATATGAAAATCACAATATTTGGGAAAGGTGTATAAAAAATGACTGCATGATATTAAAAATCTGCGCAAAGCCATGCGCGGTCGAATTTAACGTAAAACACTTTGTGTTTAAACGCAATAACTTTGCGATTACATGTAGATGCAATGGTTTTCGCGATTAAACGCAATAATATTTTTGCGTTTAAATGGAATAATGTTTGTGATTAAACGCAATAATTTTGCGGTTAAACGCTATATTTATGTGATTACTCTTACAAAAAAAGTTAACTATAGTTTACTATTGTTAACAATAGTTTACTATAGTTAACTATTAGTTTACAATTATAGTAAATTGTGTAGAGTGTAAAAGTTATCACTATGGTAAATCAAAGTTTTCTAAGTGTTTACTTTTGTGTCATAGTTATCAGTATTATTAATAGTAAATCAAAGTTTTCAAAGTGTTCACTACAATAGTAAATCAAAGTTTTTACCATAGTCAAGAAAAGTTTTCATAGTAATCACTATTATAATAGTTATCCATTTTCATAGTTATCACTATAATAAATCAAAGTCTCAAAAAGTTCACTGTAGTAGATCAAAGTGTCAAAGTGTTCACTATAGCAAATCAAAGTGTCAAAGTGTTCATTGTATTAAATCAAAGTTGTCATAGTGTCAAAGTTTTCACTTTAGTTTAGTATAGTATTTTTTGTTAAGGTAAACGCAATAATTTTAGCTATTAAATGCAATAATCTTTGCCTTGAACCGCAATAATCCCTACTTATAAGGATTTGTGTTGCATTTAAACACAATGTTACTGTAGTTTCAAAATCAAACATCAATTAGCCAAAGCTTATAATTACATGTATATATATGTACTAGGATCCGACAGCGCAAAAATGATCCGATTTGTTCTGTGTCTTTTTGCAAATTTTTCCAGTTTTTAAAAATTGTATTAAAACAGTGGCATCTCAACAACCTGAATGTCTTAAATGCATTCGAACCAAACACTTTCAATGAAGTTTGTTATCAATTGCTTAGTAATACGTATCACAACTTATAGAGAATGTTTTCGTGGTGTTAATGGCCCTTGTCAATTTGGTAATACACATCGATCTATCTGTTTTTATTTGAATTTGAATTGATCTCATATCAATCCATTACCTATGTTCTTGTGTTTATTGTATGCAACCATAGGAAGGGTTGTGAATGTACATTAAGTCTAAATACTCCATCATTCTAAGGTGTAAACCTCTAATATAAAGCTAGTTTCAAGTAACTTATTGCATTTGTGTATTTCGATTACAAGTACCTGACAAAAAAAAAATATAATTATATTTAAAAAAAAATAAAAACAATTTTTGATTATAACATCTTTATTTGACGAAAAGTCACCATTTCATTTGAACGTCGAAGGAATAATAATAATAGCAATAAATCTAGTAAATTGCATTCATGAGTCCAACGATGAAAATAAATCCATTGACTATTCCTATGATGGTTGATAAGAATTGAATTGCTATTAGCAATTATATGAAGCAACAGAATAAAAATACAGTCAAATTTCATTATCTCGAACTCTGTGGACCAGAGAAATACTTCGATATAACCGAAGATTCGATATATCCAGGATTTGAGGAATAAACTAATTGGACTTCTAAATTGCTTCAATATATCCATGGTATTCTAGATATTTCAGATACACGTACCAAAACTCAACTGTACATGCATTTGTAATGTTTCTCAGTTTAAAAAAAAATGGAAAGGATATAGATAACTATAATTATAATCACTCGGTTGTTGCCAAAAACTTGTTCCTCAAAGGTTATTATGACGTCATTAAACATGTACAAAGTACGTCATATTGTTCTTTAATGGCGTTATTACAAGCAATTCTAGAAGAAAACAAAATTCGGAAGAATAGAATCTTTAGAGATAGGCTAAATCCATTGGATGCGTATGACGACGCGGAAATTCTTTCCCGCTATCGAATGACAAGACACTGTTTGATGGATGTCATTGACATTGTAAGAAAGGATGTGTCACATGAGACAAAAAGATCTCATGCCCTTACACCTGAAGAACAAACTTTTGCTGCTGTGAGGTATTATGCGACTGGTTCTTTCCAGCAAGTGATTGGGGACATTTTAGGACTCAGTCAACCCAGCGTTTCCAGAGCAGTAAAGAATGTTTCTAATGCACTGGCAAGTTTTGCTGGACAAATTATTCAATTCCCGACGGATTGCCGAAAACTTCAAACTGTTAAAGAAGGTTTTATGGAGAAATTTGGATTTCCAAATGTAATCGGATGTGTGGACCGGTCATTTATTCCAATTAAGGCTCCACCATCACGCGAGGACGTGTATGTATGTCGCAAGGGTTTCCATGCGCTAAACGTACAAGGGACAAGACAGTCAGAAAAAAATTTACAAATTTGCTCGTTAAATTCCCTGGCTCGGCGCACGATGCCTTCATATGGAGTCAGTGTGGTGTACAAACGTTCCTTACTCGAAACACGCATACAGAGAAATACTTTTCAATATTATGAGTATATAGTTAAAATATGGCAATTAAACTGCACCGTAAAGCAAGAAAAGACCGCGCAATATAAGTGCCAGAAAACAGAGGTTGTATCTACCGTTTCATTGTTTTCGCGTATGTCAAGGTCACGCCACTTTTATTTTTAGCTCAAACTTGTAAACAACAATAAACTGGAGCATGCAAAGGTGAGAAATATGTTTTAACAACTTTTAAAAAAGATTGCATCAAAGGTTTTGGTCTATTCCTAGCCTTCATTCATTCCTGGGTACTTGAGACCATGGTAACTATGGTACTTATTCAACTTTTCTACGCACGCGTACAAGAGGGAGGAAGAAGTAAATAAATATTTTCGTTATGGGGCATACTGACATTATTTGTCCATAAAAATAAACCTAAGTACTTTTAGGAATTGAACTAAGTTTACTAGGGTCATGCCAAAATTCTACGTTTACTTTGTCAAATTTCCGCTTTGTGCGTCACGGTGTCTCTTTAATGAAATTTCGCGTAAAAAACAAGTATATCTCTACGAAATCCTATTAGGATCACTCTAAAGAGAAAAAAAAATTAAAAGGCGTTATAACGCCTTTTGAAAAGGCGTAATAACGCGAAATAGGCGTTATAACGCCTTTCTAAAAGGCGTTATTACGCCTTTCTATTCAAAAAGGCGTTATTATTTCCAAAAGGAGGAATGAATAAGAAACAAATAACTTTTGTTTTTTTTTTATTTTCTTGTCAATTATACATTTTAAGATTATATTTAGATAAACAACACTGTGACAAAACAATCGATTTATTCGACCAATGAGAGTTGCAGATACATAGAATTTGTCTTTACGGACCCGTTATTACCGCACCCGTAAAGTGAACGTTAACGGAGACTTTTGTGAATACCACGTTAGTTTTTTACGGTCACAACCGTTAGAGTCTCCGTAAAGTTAACGGACCCGTTATCTAACGGATGCTTTGTGAATAAGGTCCCTGATATGTTAACAATGTTAAGATATAGTACTTTATTATTTTTCGTGTGTTTCACATGCTTTTAAGAATTTGGGTGTTTGTTCTTCCATCTTTTTTTGCAAATTCTTCTAGTCATATTTGTACTTTTTCCTTATGTATATTAATATCCTTATAAAGGATATATTCAAATATGGTCATATGTAACTTTTGTACATATTTGTTTAATTTGTTTGGCATTACAATAAATGCTCATTAACAACAAACATTTAGTTTTGATATTTGCAAAAAACAAGGCAGAGTAGACTCATTGATGGAGAAAATAAATTATTTGAAGAAGGTTGAAGACGATGGTATAAATATTTTTAGCGTCTTATTCACTCGCCATGGTACCTTAAACTCCGAAATGTCGCCTAAAATATAACTATTGGCTACAAATTGGCGACTTTTTATAAAGTTGTTTTCTTTTGCATTTGAAGTATTATGTTAAGTCAAATAATAAATTGTTATCAAAGACCTATGTATATAATAAACAAATGCTACGTATTTAAGTTTAATGTTTTATTCGAGTTGGCAGGTATTGTCCACAGTGGTCTACACAACAGTGGGGCAGCCGGCAAAATGGCATACCCCCAACATCAACATAAGTTGTGCCCTCCCTGACGGGAAAAGTAGCACGCTGGGTTGACCTCATTCGTGCTACGGACACATTTCAACACAAATTATCTTTTATAATTATATTATTTTGCTTTAGCTTTAAATTGTATAAGATATAATTTTCAAAGTCAACATCACATATATCAACATCAACCATCACATATATCAACATCAACCACAAAAAGTCAACAAAATCAACAGTTCAATGGTTAAATTGAAGGTGACGATTTCGCCAATACGACCACTGTGAAGTATAGTTGACTGTCTTTCCCCGAACTCCTCGAATGGATAATTTGCCAAGTTGACCCTTGTCATATTCGGCCAGAGATCATTCCAAAGGTCCCAGAATACGGAAATAGCAGGCAATTCAGATCAGCATCGTTAGTCTCCTTCAACGAAATCTCTTATATCTGAAAAGACAAAAACAAAAACCCACAGCAGAAAAAGATTCTCAATAACATTTGCATAACTCTAATAAATTTGGTATAGCCAAACCATGTAAAACAATGAAAAATTATTTAAACAAACAAAAGGAGAAAGGGTATATACTTAACACCTAGCTCAAGGGTTGAGGTGGGAGGGTATTTCATAATACAAAAACATAAATCGGATACTTTCATCACCCACCTTTCACTTTCATTGATGGATAGAAAAGGGGAGATAACCCGTAAACCTAGTGCCTAAGTACCGACACTGTATGGATGGATAAATAAATTCCGGCTTATCACATTTATTAGTTTTTCCACAAAAAGGAGATGAATGATGACATATAATAAAAGGATAGAGCTTTGATAACGGCGCATATTGTGAGATGAACTCAAATATGCGGTATTATCAAAGACCTATGTATATAATAAACAAATGCTACGTATTTAAGTTTAATGTTTTATTCGAGTTGGCAGGTATTGTCCACAGTGGTCTACACAACAGTGGGGCAGCCGGCAAAATGGCATACCCCCAACATCAACATAAGTTGTGCCCTCCCTGACGGGAAAAGTAGCACGCTGGGTTGACCTCATTCGTGCTACGGACACATTTCAACACAAATTATCTTTTATAATTATATTATTTTGCTTTAGCTTTAAATTGTATAAGATATAATTTTCAAAGTCAACATCACATATATCAACATCAACCATCACATATATCAACATCAACCACAAAAAGTCAACAAAATCAACAGTTCAATGGTTAAATTGAAGGTGACGATTTCGCCACATGGGCACCGTAGGTGCCCACCGCCACCTGGTGGGGGTAGGCAACTTCAATTTAACCACCCACCATGGACTCCTAGCCTACTCAAAACCCTCAGCAACCCATCCATCGTGAACATCACTCTCTCTCATTGCCAACCCACTGTAGAACTATCCTGCATTAAAATAATTCTGGTCTCCCAATTAATTGGGCCTAACGCCCCCCCCCCCCTCCTGAATTTATATCTTCCCAAGTTACTAGTATATTGCTTTGGGTCTCAGATTCCATTCTTAATATCCAGCTGGCAAGAAAGAACTACTACCTGAACTTATGTAAGAAAATTATGTAGAAAATACGTTTTATTTAGATTCCCCCTCCCCCCTTTTTATTTATTTGTTTATAAATTTGAGTTTTATTTCTTATTTATTAATTTTTTAGGCGATAAGATACTTTCATGCAGAGATTAGAAACAAGTTGAATGAGCACCTTTACTCTTTAACCCCCCTTTCCCTTTCAGCATGATTATGCTATTCCTGTATTGTTGACAATAATTTTAAAGTGTTCACATGCCCAATTTGTAAACTGCAGAACATGTTTTGTGATATTTGGTAATGTATCTTGCCAGTTCTGAGGGAATGATGTTATACATGTACCACTTATTTTGAAAGCGAACTCTTCAAAGGATCATTTAAAATTGATTAAATCTTGTATATAATAAGTACCTTTCAAACCAAGACACACAATGGAGGACTTTGTATTTACTGCTTATTTGTAAATGTAGTTGGACTGCAGCAGACATTGAAGGCACATATGACTAAATCCTTTATTCTAAACCCCTTCCCAGCTGATGCTCTATCAAAAATGCTTGATCTTTTCACACCTTAAGCCCCCCCCCCCCCCCCCCGCAAAAATATGTTTTGGAATAGGTTATTTATATAATAGACTTCAAAATATTTTAAGGCTGTAGGAAATGGATATATGATGGAGAGCATAAAAATTAATATGCTTAGTCAGTGGAAACTTATCCTATATCGAATACCCTAAAATGCTGGAGAATTTTATCTAATCTTAATACTATGAATCTTGTAACTCCTACACACATGTGGATTTGTATTTGTATCCCCTAGCTAACCTGTATTTGTACCCACTAGCTAATGCATGGATGTAAACTGCATGTACATATATATGCACCGAATAATGCATCTTAATCCCATATGAGGTCAATGTGTAAAGTAACATAAAATAATTATGCTACATGTAACTGCTCAGATGAGAGATAAACACCTATCATATTACATGCAAATGGCACCTGGGTTTGAACTGATATTTTCAATGGGAAAATACCCCCTGAGATATGCATATGTGTCTTAATTTCCAACAGTAAGCAAATACTATTAAAAAGAAAATATTGTAGGAAATGGTTTGGATTGTAACCTAGCCTGTGGAACAATATGTGTTAACACCCCCCCCCCCCCCCCCCCCCCCCCCGCTGTTAGGTAGTTACATGTAGGTAATCTCGCCTTTAGTGCTTATTAGTGATAAAGAAACTAGTTACCTAAACAATTTACCCTTTGCAAGTTTAAAAACTGTGAATATAGAATTTTAACTAAAGCAACTTTTATCTGTGTGAAATAGCAAATCTTAACAACTTAGAGACACAACAGAAACCAACACTGACAAAAAGCCCCAATTTGAACCTCATAAGTCTCATTATAACCCATTCTATTTTATTTATTTATTGATTTATTTATTATTGTTGCATGACCATTCATACTACAGCATATGCCATATTAGGAAAATACATAGAAAGTACCAGCACTGTGAGCTGTGTTCAAATGAGCCTGCATATGCACTGACTGTAGCACCTGAAGAACTCTGTAAATTGTCCCTCATTCCCAATGCCAAATTGAATAACGAGTAAAATTGGTAAAAGTTCAGGAAATTTGAGTTGCAATTCCTATTTTAAGGTTCACTTTCCCCAATGAGAAAGATAACTCAAAGGAATAAATGTAAATTATCATGTTAATTATGTTAATTTCCTAATACTCTTGACAATTTATTTATTTCACAGTGCTTCAATTAGCCTACAAATTATTATTATTTAACTTCTTTTTATAGTCTTTTATTTGTAGAATTGTATTTCAATACCCAAAGTTCTCTTCTTGTATAAATATTAAACAAGTGACTAGACCCATGTTTTTAGAACATTGTGAGGAAACAAAAGCCCATGCTGAAATTAATCTCTGTATACATAAATAATCAACATTTGTGAAATAATCTATATATAATAAATTAGTAAAATAAGTTTACCTGATTTTTCATGTTAACTTAAGATGGTACAAAACTTTTCATTTACTAAACACAACTTTATAGGATATAAGGCCTTTATGCTGTTAAGGGGTGAGAAGACATTAAGGAGGCTAGGGGGTCAAGCCGGTCAACAATTATTAACCACCAGATATAATTTAAATTTTGGGATATGATATCTTAAGGTGTCAACTATCATTTGGCAAAAGAAAAATTTCATAAATTTTAGCTTTAAAATTTGATCAATTATATCTTTATTGAGGTCTTCTTCTAAAGGAGATCCAAATAGCCTAAAAATGGCCACAACCACCCAGCCCCTTTAAATGTATGTGTTTATATTGTGTTATCATCAAACCTTCTCAATTAAGGTAAAGGCGCTGTTAGAGAAATTCATGATTATGCTCATGTACACTGGAGACGGCTTCCAAGGAACGAACAGCATGGCCTTCTTTTATTTCCTTTATGTATAATTTTAACTACACCATTGACCAAAATGACAACACAGAATATATGCAAAACATGCCCTTCGCCCCATCTTACTTAATCTGAACCCTTTGATATATATTAACCAGCAAAATAGTAGCTAGCCTTGCTAGATATTACATGTAGTTAATTAAAATAAAATTTGGGGAATCCTATTTATATCAACTGTTACTAATGAACCATTGAGGTCTTAAATTACTATGCCCACATTGTTATTGTTCTTGTTGAATCTGAAGTTGTCCTCCCTATCAAGCCCCTTAAGAGAAGTGATATCCGAATAGGTGAGGATGCTGCTGGTCCTAATATATTATTAATATGTGGATTTGACAGACAATGTACAATTCAACTCTGGTGCATGTTACCTATGCCGGGTATGCCTCCCAGATTTTACAGCCTGAATTGTTGATTGTAATGCTTCCATCCAACTGAATTTTTTGACTTAAAATCTATTTACTTTTTTAGTCATCATTCATATTTACTTACCTTGAGTTTTGTCATATAGCATGTGTACAACTGTAAATATGTATAAACAAATACACATCTTACTTGATGTTTCATTCATATCATAAAATGCATTATTGTAATGTTACATTCAAAAGCACCAAAACTTGTTATGTATTTTACTTCAAACTATTTTATTTCACAATTGATTACTGCCTTTGTCGCAATTGCATATCTTTCATGCCTCTCTTTGGACCCTTGTTAAAGTTGAATGGCCTTGATTGAAATTTAAATACTTTAATTAGAGTTCTGTCCCTTTGTGAATCTAGCTAAATATTAAACATTTCTAAAGATTTGTCAAACTTTTATTACTTCTCAATCTGTTTTTTTTTATTCACTGTTTTTAGGACAAAAGGTAGACTGGTATGGCACAGCTAGCCTAAGGGTAACCATATCCTTGAACATCTATTTATTTATTTTTTAAAAAATCACTCAATATTTTAAATAAACTGATATATGCACCATACCCAGTTACAAAACTTGAAAAGCATACTTATACTGTAAGAATTATAATTATGGATATTCCCATTTTTAAATCCCCTAAAGATAGGCTAAGGGATCTAAGTAACTAAATATAGGCCACCATGTGTACGGATGTTTATTGGCAAATGACCTTGGAATAACATGGACCGAATAAAGTTGAAGTTCATACCTATTTTTACATTAGCTCATTTTGATTATATATTATTTCACTAAGTAAGTTTTTATTCATTCAAAATCTGCTGATGAAGTTGGTTATCATTACCACATTGTAATCTTGTACCATGTGCCAGTGTTTAAAGCATGGACGGGTGGCAAATCGATCTGTTTCAATCCAATAAAATACTTGCCATCGAGCAATATCAATGTTAATAAGATAATCTGTTTTACTTCTTTGACTGAAACTTAACTTTAAAAACTGGAAATTATTATAAAATATTTCATAATACAAAAACATAAATCGGATACTTTCATCACCCACCTTTCACTTTCATTGATGGATAGAAAAGGGGAGATAACCCGTAAACCTAGTGCCTAAGTACCGACACTGTATGGATGGATAAATAAATTCCGGCTTATCACATTTATTAGTTTTTCCACAAAAAGGAGATGAATGATGACATATAATAAAAGGATAGAGCTTTGATAACGGCGCATATTGTGAGATGAACTCAAATATGCGGTATTATTTCAGACTTAGAACCGTCCATACTTTGATCAGCAGTCCTGTTTAAATATTACCTATAGCTACATATATAACATTATTTCATAGTTGATGTGTTTGTTAGGCTACAGGTACAACCCAACACCCCGCAATAAGTTTATCATAATACTAGTATGTTAAAAATCGGTGTAAAGTTTTTTTTTTCTGTCCAGTTAAAGTAAAATTATAAGGGAAGTATGTTTGCATGTATATTTACAAGTATATGAATAATAAAACATTTCAAGCCACCGGTTTGGTTTAAAAAATCTTTTTTAAGGTACGTATCCGATCCATATTAGCCTCAGATTCAATGAATCTAAATGCATTACAGATATATATACTGGCTGAATACTCGGTATATGTAGACATACTCTTTAGATTTTAGTCTCGGTATGTAAGAACGGAAAGTGTCCTAATTTTTTTTACCTTGACCCGTTCTTGAAGGATTACCCCCCTTTGCTTTTAATCAATAAAATTCATTTTAAAAAATCTATTGGCGAATTTTTTTTAATCTTTTTTTTTTATTCTTAATACATGTAATTATACATCTTTCCACCATAGCATATTTTGATATTTTATAATTTAAATCTTTATTTTAAAAAATTTGCTTGTTTCCATAGGCCTCAATGCATTTTTGATTAGTTAATTACAGCTCAGGTAATTATATTTTTGAAAACTTCTCATTGTAAATCCTTTTCTACTCTAAACTGCTTTGAATTAGTTTCAGAGTATATATAGGATGGATATTTAAGGTTAGAAATATTTTTCCCTTTATGTCCTTTTATGGGTCGGATACCTTAACTGCATATTTAAAGATTAAGATACTTACCTGGAAAGTACAAGGTACGTGCGTCCAAATAAGCCACGCATAAAATTATACAAACTGCTGAAATGATAAGATATTGGAGGTACTCATTTTAAGCAGGGACAAAATGAAATGTGACAAAATAACTATTGTTTATAAATAAATATTTATATATTTCACAGTTATTTGCCAATGATCTTCCATAACGCTATTCATTTAAATGTATGTGTATTCCAATCATAATATTTATACTATCATAATTATACTACGTAATATACACGTGATTTATTGATAGTGTAAGATAAAAATAAATTTTGCAGATAATTGAGTGGCAAACGGCATAGTTTCTGTAATAAGTTCAATCATCTACCTTGCAGTATACCCCGTGTTAGATGAAATGTGTGGAGATAACGAACAGTATTCGAAATCTAAAGTCCATTTTAAATATCACAAAATAGAAGTGGAGCAGAATTGAACCTTCAAAATATCAGAGGTGGGATCAGGTGCCATGACGGAGTGAGTATCCCCTCCCGACCGGGCAGAATTTTATAAAATATTCAAAGGTACTCATTTAATGCAGTAATAAAAGGAAATATCACAAAATTACTAATGTTTACAAATAAATATTTAGATATTTCACAGTTATTTGCCGATGGCCTTCCTTAACGCTGTTTATTTATGTATGTGTATTTCAATCATTATATTTATACTACGTTATATGCACGTGATTTAAAGCTGGTGTGTTTGATAAAAATAAATTTGACAGATAACAGAGTAACAGATACGGCATAGTTTCTGTAATAAGTTCAAACATCTACCTTGCAGTATATATGTACTTCTGAGTTAGATGAAATATTTGCAGATAAAGAACCTTATTAATTCGAGCTCAAAAGTCCATTATATATCATTAAATAGGAGATGACCAAACACGGACCTCCAAAACAACAGAGGAGAGATCAGGTACCATGGAAGAGTGAGCATATCTTGCGGACTGGTCACACCCGTCAGATTCTCCTTGTTCTGATCGGGAAATATTGTATACAGGGAAATTTACGCCCTTTTCGCCCCAGCCTCGTTTGGGAAAATTTAAAAAGGGCGAATTCGAAATATACAGGTTAATTTCTGAAACAAAACTGTGACTTGGCGAATGTAAAACGAAGCAAAATTTTTTGCAAGAAATTGTTTGTATACAGAACGAAAAAAAAAAATCCTTGGACAATTTAATGAGTAAATAATGGCCTAACTATCACTGTGTAAAAAGTCAGTCCCCAGTGCTAGCATGAAAATATCTTGTAAAATTCTTTCTTAGTCGTACGTTCCTTTATAAACAAATTGCGAGAATGCATGTTGATTTTTTTATTATATTAATCTCAATAGTTCTTGTATTATCTTTTCTTGTTATTTTGAAAGCTTAACTAGTTCGTCTACGTATTCAAGAAGGCATCCGACTTTTTAAAAAGAAACTTCCTCCCTAAAATTGGTGTAAAAACGTTAATCTTAAAAAAATATATTTTGAAAGTAAAGCGTAAAAATAACTAACGAAAAGTAATATCGAGTTTTCAGTAAATATAGCATTAAAACCACGTAGGCAAATTTGATGAGAATTACAGATAATATGCTTGTAATTCGAAGGAATATTAAGTTTATTAAAATTTTAGGATTTGTTTTCTCGCAAGAATTTTCATGCAAGAAACCCGCTACATACCGTAAACGATCTTATCAGAAAAACCGATATCCATGTCCTGCAGTGGGATTCGGCCCCGCTACGAAGTGATAAATGCAATTACTCTATAGCAGAATTACTAAGCAGTTCAACACGTGGACTACCGTTTGTATTTAAACAGATTGGTGTTTCTTTTAAACGTAGTACTTTTTCAGAAATAAATTCTGTGATATTTTGCAAACAAATCAGATAAGGTCGATTGCCATGATTGAATAAAAAAAATCATGGTACAATGTATCTAAAATAACAATTACAATTCAAGAGCTGATTTAGTCAATTTTACCGCTGCTCAATAAGATGCACGCAAATTGAACACGATTAATATAATTGTACAACATTGTAGAACGGCTACAGTAGCGAAGTAAAAACATAAAGATTGCAAATTTCAAAATTTCCTGATCCATTATTTTAATTACATCCACACAGGTTTAAGTACTTGAATCCTTTACTCCGTCACAAATAGTTGCAATGCTTTGAAATTCTTTTTTCTTCATTGTTTTCTTTTGCTTCATTTTAGTCCTTCGTCTCCTGATAATAATATAAACGATTCCATTCAAAACCCCTCCAACGTTTGAAAACGTGATCACAAACTGGAACACAGCCAAAGGAACTGGAGCAATCAATTGCCATATTCCGTAGAGAGACAGGGGCCACCATTGAATGAAGAAGGCAGTGACAAAAAGCAACATAGTTTTTCCCGCTTTAATTGCAGAACGAGTGGTAGCGACCTCCTGTCCCAGCGTGTTTTGTAGGCGCCGTGACTCGCTTCTGATCCGCTTCCACGTCAGGCCGTAGAGGATGATGTTTGTTATCAGGACAGCTAATAACGGGGCGGTGGTATAGAAGAAAATGGTTACCCCTCCTTTAACTTTGTCTAGATAGCACCTAGTGAGTAATGTAAATTAAAAGTAGATATCAATAGTAGGTTGGATTTTATATCTGACTGAAGCGAAAAAGTATATATATCAATATATTGCAGGTAAAGAGATAACTTACATGTGTATAACCATAATGAGAAAAAAATACCAATAAAGAACTTTCATAATTGTAAATTTGAATAAGTTGTGTTTATGGTAAACAATATTATATAATTATGGACTTCAGTGTAGGTCGATATGTGGTTATAAAGACTCAAGGCAAGTGGTATGGACCGAAGGCACAGGCTCAGGCTTTGTCGCTTCCATTTTCTTTGTCTGAGGTCCTTATCACTTGTCATGAGTCCTCATTACCGCATATTGACCGTTCAATGAAGTCCATAATAATTTTATTTGATCACTCGAAGGGAATGATTTCACATAGTCCTAACTAAATTGACTCGACTGTCACAATAGTAAAATCATGTTTCTTATATTATGACATCGCTCTGTAAATAATTTTGTCCAACCGAATGGTGTGTCGTGCGATATCATATTCCGCGGACGCGCTTTGGTGTCGATATCACAAAAGGTGAAATATCACGCAACCTCCTTTCAGCCAATGAAAACTAAGACAATAATCTTGCATGCATTAAAAGTACATGTACATATATGTAATTTTATTAGCTATTGTTCATGTTATGATTCAAACTCAAGTTAAAAACTTTGTTTTTAAAAGATGAAATGCTTTAAGATTTACGTTTTTTTAATACAATTTGCTTCAAAATTAAAAGTTGAAGAAAAGATACTCCAATTAAAACAATATTGCAAGTAAAAACTTACGAATAACCATTAGGTCCCAGCTTGTCAAAGATTGCGGCTAAAGTTCCTCCAACGCAAGGAATTCCAAAAGTGTACAGAAGAAGGTGCCAATCATACTTACCAAAATCCAGATCCTTCGAAAAATAAATTAAAACGAAGACATTAAATGCAACAGCGCTAACCATGAGGTTTTGGGCAGTTACAAACTCAATCAACATAAAAGCATAAAAAGTACACAATTCTTTTGGGTAAACATGGTTTTTGGTCACAATCATTTGAGTATGATCCAAAGCATGCGAGATATTGAGAAGTCCATCACACAAAGCCAGATACACGACTAATCGTTCGCTTTTTGTCCATGAAAAAAATGTCTTGATGCTTTTTGTTTTGAAAGATGCAACAATGACGGCTAAAACTGATATAAAACTGAGAGAGATGCAAGTTATGGCAGGAATATGAATCGAATAAAAGTCACCATTATCGAGACCGTATACCGGTATGTCGTAGCTGCTTTGGATCCCATTCGATAGAAATCGTTTTGTAGTTGGTTTCTCCAGTTCAGCTGTATTTTCAGTAAAATCCGATTGCGTGCTTATATCCATGTCAAAAGATTAATTGCGGAAAATCTTTTAAAAAGAAGCTACGATTACTTACGGCGATGAACAGTTTCGAAATTTTCAGCTTTTTAAATTAAACAAATCTTGCTAACATTTTATCAAACAACATTGACCAAACTGTAATTTAAAACCAAGAAGATTGGATTGAATAACTTTTTGTGAAGTAACTCCAGGTACATTTAATGAAGATTATGATGACGCACTAGTTTTGTTTACGAAATTCGGTTTACGAAATAAACAACTGCACGTGCATAGTTCTGTACACATTCATCTACGCAGTAGCTGTACCCGATACGATGTTCTCCAAACTGGGTTTTGTCCGATTTCCCATGATGAATATAACCCTGAAAGATCTATACGACAATCGGTGGACTGGAAAGAAGTTTATTTCTATTTTTATGTAAATCTTTACTGAACTTTCTGTACCTTTGAAATGGTTCAAATATTCGATGATATCATCAATTTAGTTCAAATCGATACCTATCGTCAGGAGATTTGACAGATACAAAGAGAAGATAAAGATAATTAAACAGCAACAACTCATTGTCTTCTTATTTACTTCTGAGAATTGTAAACCTTTTGCAATTATCAGACGTGTTTGATTTATAAAAACGCACGACACTTTCCACATCAAATATTTATTGCACGTTTTTTCCTATAGTGCATCACCGTCGACCACCCTTTCTATGGGAAATAAAAAAAACGTGTATATTAATTCCAAATCTATTTCGTATGATTTACAGGGATTTAGAAATATGTCATTGTAGTAGGTCTCTGTTTCAAATTCGTGGATTCAATAACTGGCAAAGTATTTCAAATTTTCTGTATTAATCAGAGGGCCTTTAATGGAGAATCACTGGACCATGCTATATAACTCCAAACAAAACACAGAAACAAACCATAAATGAAAAATGTTTTGCGTCACAATTTAAACATGGTCCCATAAGTACCATTCATTTATATCATACTTAAAAATGTTTTGCGCCGAAAGAAATGTTAAATTTTCTAAGAAAAATAACTGTATTTTGCTATGGAAATACTTTAAGAAAATATTGCATGTAAATATTTACATCACATGCATTTTTAATCCTCTTTATTTAATCTAATTTTTTTTTCAAACTACACAAAACCGGATCCTTTAAACTCTTCGTGCATCCGTACTGATATGATTTTTAAAGAAATGAAAGTATTAATTTTCGACGAATCAAAGAAAACGGAGGGAAAACGTAGTGCTCTGTATTTTTCAAAAAATAAAAATGATGTACAAAATAGAAATTGACCCTTTCTGGATCATGGGATGTCCATGCAGTGGGAATACAAAATTTGTTTTTCTCATATGACCTCTTAAATACTAATTGTGACGTAATCAACTGCATTTTCTCGTATCTTCTTAAAAAGTTGCAGGGGAATTTTCAATTTTCAGTGGAATTTTCTTTGAGTAAAACATATTTGCTTGCATCGCCAACAAGGATTTTGAGAGAGGCGATTTTTTAAAACCTTTTCATAATTTATCTTAAAACTTGAAGTGGGCGACGGCCTCAGACGGTACTAAAACCCAGAAATTAGTTATCTTGCGGCTTTTTTGCATTAAACTTAGAATTGTGTAAAATTATTGACGTCAAAGGATGGCCCTCCTTCATGTCATGCCATATTATTCAATGATTTTTTATATTCATCTTCTCAACTCTTGTTAAAGCCAAATTTTCATATTCTAAAGAACATTATTTTAAAGTCTCAATAACCTCCATACTGTACCCTTTTCTATAAATAAACGATATTCATTGAAAAATTGCTTCTTGTTATTGATTCAAAATTTCAAACTCCTAGGAAAATCTCGTGGAAAAACTTCATTTTATGAAATACTCATAAAAGGTTTCATAACTTTTGCCTAAAAAATGAGAAGTAGCAAAAACTCAATGGCCTTTTCACCTTTTTCAAATTCGAAACTCATATATCATAATGACAAGTGTTATATATTGTAATGATAAGTGTACAACATTTTCATACACAACGCCTTCTTAAAGTGGCCAAAAAAACCGTTTTACTTCTGTAATTGTCCAATACGATTTTAAAAAGAATTGCTTTTTTAGGAGCATTTGCTCCACGGGCACTGGAAGTTAATGTAAATATATAGTATGTGCATGTATAAAAAAAAGAAGGGTAGGACACTCTTTTTGAGGCAAATTCGGGTTTGGGGTATTGTGGGCCTTTCTCAGAAGACTTGACGCGATAAATCGTTCACATATAACTTACTATCAATATATGTACCGTTTCGTTCCGCTCCAATGCCGTTCCTTCGAAGAAAAAGATGTTTTTATACCACCAAGTGGCTAAGAATTTCGCTATGCTGCCTTACTTCCGCTTTATCCGCACTGAATATAAAGGTAAGTTTTGATTAGTCAATAATAAAATAAAATTTAATATTTTTTCCCGTCACTAGGTGGCAGTTTGATAGACATGAAGCGGCACATTCAAATATGTAATCATTCGCCAATCAAACCTCACCTTTATGAAGAAAATTGAACCGATGGTTTCAGATATTTTTGCGATTAAAAAAATTTCAATGGCAAAAAACTAAAAGATTCAGTAGATGACGTCACAATATTTGACCTTTGACCTTTGACCTCTTGATATGACCTTGACCTTTTCAGTATATAAGTGACCAATATATAGGATTCTCTGATTTTTTCACAAAATATGACGCAAACATGCCAAAACTTATTATTTTTCTTACAGAGATCATTCATTGTTGTCAGTATAGTAATAAATTATTATTCTTCTTTTCTCCGGTACTTTTTAAGAAATTGGTTAAAATAGAATCCACGGGTGTTTTGTCCTACCTTAATTGTAATGAAATGATCATTATAACGCAATATTGATTTTTTAAACTTTATTTTCATGTACTTTGATTTATAAAAGTTAATTGTCACTATTGCTAACTTTTGTAAACTATAATTATTATTTTTAGTTGTGAAATAAACATTTATCGCCAAAAGGATACAATCTGTAGATATACATGCATTCTATTGATCCAAAGAAACAGAAGAAAGGAATATTTAACTCTTTATTTGATGAGAAGTCAATATTCCATTGTAACATCGACAGTAGTCAGATCTTCTGATTTATCCTGGAATAAAATTGAAACCTGCATGTTTATATTAATTATAACCCATATAATTCTAGTTTCAATGCTCCTATTATAAAACTTTAATGGTTGAATTTAAGAAAAGTTATAAATAAATTATTCTTCTTTAAAGAATATTTCTTTTGTTTCATACTGAGTATTTTATTTTAAAAAGTACGATTCTCGTTACCTAAGCAGCATCTTGGACAACCGTTTTGCTCTATTTCAGTTTCACCAGTGTCACCGCAAAAAACCATAGGACACAAGGGACTTTCCTCTGTGATAAATAAATTAAATACTAGTAAAATCATATGCTGCTAAACAAATTAAGACTTCAAAATGTCAGTAAAGATTTTCCAAAAAACTAAGCACGTGATTTAAATCTTTCTTATTTTTGCACGTGTTTTAATTATAGTCAAACATTGGGAAAATACAAAAATATGTGAATTTTTTATGTACAGTGCATGTTTCCTGGCGTGGAAGGACTGAGGCAAAGAAAACAAAATCAGGATTCATGCATTCTTTTGTCTTGAAAAATAAAAAAAATACATTTGCACCCGGACACCTATCGAAATAATGTTTCTATATTTAAATTAATATGTACACCTCCATCCAAACTCTTCTGAAAAAATTACAATACATGACGTTTTTGCCTCGGTCTATATTCAATGTCCACAACATATTTGATATGTTTATTTCCATCACTGAGTACACCACTCCATAGACAACCAGAATTTTAGATAGGAAAACGAGGGACGGCCTTTCTTTATGTATGCAATGACAATGCCGATGGTGTTGAGAACCTTTCCAATCCACCGTGTACGTGTAACAATGTCAATGTGATGGGACTATTTAACCATAGACATAGAATTAACAACAGTTATTTCCATTCTTATGTCGATACGATGTATCCCTATGAGCTTGAGATAAAAGATATCACAGAGTCTGACACATTTGTTTTACATTTGGATATCTAACTTGAAAAAGACGTTAATGGTAATCTATCAACCAAGCGTTATGATAAACGCGATGACTTTAAATTTTCAATCGTCAACTTCCATTTCTTTTGCCGTAGTATACATGTACCTTCATCACCTCCATACGGGGTATATATATCTCTCGGTTTATTCAACACTCAAGAGCATGCTTTCCATGTATGTACATATGTACAATTTGTGAAACGAGATGCATTATTAACAAACAAGCTGATGAAACAAAATTATCAGAAGTCTCCTTTAAAGTCATCATTTTGTAATTTCTTTGGTCGATACAATGACTTGTCAGCCAATACAATTTATCATTAAGTCTAATGCTGACTTTATACTGCGTTAATACCGTGTTTCATACCGACTGTTATTTCATTATATACACATAATATTGTCGAAGAATTTTTTCCGTCATATCCCAATGATAACAATGAACACACTTCGGATGTTACCGGTCGGCAGGGGACGCTCACTCCTCCATTGCCCCTCCAATCTCTGATATTTTTAGAGGTCAGTGTTCGCTCTGCTCCAATTGTCTACTGTTCAATAGACTTTGGAGACTGAATACTGTTCTGTATCTCCATACATTAATTTACTTACTTAGAATCCATACACGTCCATCCACACAAGCCACGTATAAAATCATTAAAACTGTTATAATTGTGATAAAATACCGGAGGGCACTCATTCTATGTAGGGATAAACGAAAATTATAAATAATTTAATTTTAGTTGTAACACGTCATTTGATTGGTTGAACGGTTTTATCCATTTCGTATAACATAACTTGCCTACGTCACAATGAGTTACGTCAAAAACGTATTACTCCGCTTGACGTTATTTTAAAATAATGCTCAATTTGAAGCCCTTTTCCGGAGGAAATATTGTCTCATTGTCTACACTGAAATTAAATTATAAGGAATGAAGCTTATTTCAACTTATGTTATCCGATATAACAAAACTTGGGGCAGTTTACGCTTTCTTATAAACCGCTTCGCGGTTTATTAAGCGTAAACTGCCCCAAGTTATGTTATATCGGATAACATAAGTTGAAATAAGCTTCATTCCTTAAATAATTTAAAAAATACATTTTATAGCTATTTGTCTAGGGATTTCCCGAGAACCTTTTAAATGATTGATATGTGTATGTATTTCAAGTCTTAGCTGAAACTACGTACTAATTTACAAGTGAGTTATTGATGATGCTGGCAAAAAATAAATCAGACAAATAATTGAATAGCACATAGAGTGAAGTATTTTAAGTTATTCAAAATCTTTCTAGCTTCTGGTAAAGTTCTGTGTTAGACGATGTTTTTGAAAACACATTGGGTTTTTTTTAATAGAACGTCACTAGTTGTAATATCGAACTTCATAACATATAAATTTTTTATTGGAATCATTTCAAAATATGCTTAATAAAGGTGTTTTTCCTGGCCATTTTCAAAACATGTTACTTATACTTACCTTAGAAATCCAGAAGTACGAGGGACGTTCAATAAATAATGTCATTGGGGCTCGGAAAGAAACAATAAACGCTTTTCTATGACTTAGTCAGAATGATTTAACTAAAATATTCTCTTTCAATTCAAACGCATATCCGTGACATTTTCATTCAATTTCTAATTGTTTTTTGAACACATTTTTGAGTAAGACCCTTCATATACTGGAATATGGCAGATCCTATGATTTGCTGTACTTGTTTTTCTTTTTTCTGATAGATGATTTTCTAAGTTTAGGAAATGAAACAAATCAAAGTTTGAAAGATCTGGAAAATTTTGTTGGTGTGACAAAACATTAACTTTCCGTTTATCCCCAAAACTCCTTTACTCTTCATGGCCTGTGGGTTTGGGCGCTGTCATGAAGACATTTAATGTAGTGAATTCCTCATTCTGTTTCTTTCCTCTCATAAACCTTTCAATTTTTTTGCAAAAAAATTGTTTTCTAGACTCCTCCAGAAATTGAACTTCCTCCCCGAATATGAATTTGAAGAACAAGACCGCTAATATTTAATAAAATAGCATATAAAACTGTTTTATGCTCCTGCAATTCTTTGCTCTTCTTAGGCCTTTGCAGTTTTGTCACGTGCAACTTATTTTAAATTTGTTTTGAGGGCTTACAGCAAAATGGATTCAAGTTTCATTATCTGTTAGAATTTCATACAAACGTAGATAAGTACAATTTTTGATTTTTTAAAATAATTGTTTGGATATTCCTACAAGCTGTCGTTTTCACTTATTTTTCAAAATATAGGGTGACCTTTGAGTGTTAAACTTTTCTACCATAAAATGTTTCTTTAAAACAGTATGAACTATCCCCAAAATGATTTTTATCAATTTTCCTATGTGTCTTAAAGTCAATAAAACATAATCAGTGATAATTTCTTGAAATTTTGCATATTTACATTGGTTGTTGTAAGTCATTGTTGCCAAGGACGGTACCCATTTTTGATGCCCATTATATAATTTTTGTTTATTGAAATCTACATTTTCACCTGTCTATAAAACAGGCATTGGTTGCTGTAAATTTCACATATTTCAGTTATCAATTTTTGGGATATTAAGAAGTTCTACAGCTGCTTTAATGAAGCGTTTAATTTTACTCTAGTTTACTGACTCTTGACCATTCATTTTTAATGCAATGTCTCGAATAGCCCTTGTTTTCCAGCTTCCCACGATAAAATAATGCGATGAAAAGTGGTCACACAAACTGTTATCAATTCATTAAAGATTCAATAATGAGAGAAAGTCAAGTTTTATGTCATATGACTACTATATTGTATGCCATCGAGCTAATGACATTATTTATTGAACGTCCCTCGTACTTCATTACATGGTCATGGACTCATATAGAAGACTATGTAAACATTTTTATCAACTTATCACCAATAGGTTCGAAATGTGTATTATACTATTTGCAACATCAGACAGACAGAGTGTCTTTGCTGATATAAAAGAGGAGGGCATAATTAACAAGAGGCCCACGGGCCACATCACTCACCTGAGTACTGTGGCTAAGGAAAAAGCAAAAAAAGTTCAGTATTACAAAGCTTGAATGCATGAGTGGTCCCGACCTACTCTTAAAAAGCAGAAGGGGTGAGGGGGAGGGGGTACAATTTAAACAAACTTGAATATACATGTAAACTATCTGAGGATGCTTCCAAATAAAATTGACAAACCATGACTTTGCTGTTCTTGAAGATTGTTCCTATATATTCATATGTTAAACTTTGATCGTCCATTGTGGCTTTACCCTACCCAGGGGTCATAATTTTGAACAAACTTGAATCTACACTACCTGTGGATGCTTTAACATATTATGAACAATCATGGTTTTGGTTTTCTTGAGAAGACATTTGACGATTGTTCCTATGTATTCCTATACTAAACTTTTATCGTCCATTATGGCTCCACCCTACCCCCAGGGGTCATGATTTGAATAAACATGAACTACACTACCTGTGGATGCTTTAACATAAATTTGATCAACGATGTCTTTAATAGTCTATTTTGTTTTTCGTCAGTGATGCTAAAGAAGCCCTTTTAATCTCTAATGTAACGGTTTCTTTAAGAAAGAATCCATAATAGAATCATTATTAGAATACAATTCCTAATATATAATTCCACAAAAAAAATTCACCAAAAGAATAATCAAGGCTTCTTCGTGCATTATTTAAGTTTCGGTGTATCTTAATCATAATCATGTGGCGGTATCCAAATTATATCCACATTATATTTCATCATAGTTATGTTGCATAATAATGAGGATTTTTTTTTATTTTTTAGGTTTCGGCATGATTATATAGGGAAAAAACATACAGGGTGGAAGGACCTTAAAGCTTTAGTAAGGATTAATAAGAACAAGAAGAGGAATATATTAATCTTTATTTTACGCGATCTTCATTGTATCAGAGCATCGAGTACCCCAGATCACTGAGTTATCGTACAGCTGAAATGAAATAAAAGAACACTTATATACATATGTATATACATTGTCATTATTAATAAGCATCATGCATTGCCCCATGTATAGAGTCAAATGTGCCACATAATATATCAGCAGGCTAATTAAATTCTATGTAAACGTTTTTTGTTTTTTTTTTGGTAATTGTTTAGACAAAGAAGTGTCCTTTCATTTTAGTTCCTGAGTAAGAGTTCATTTAAGTAATACTAAAATTGAAATTTTCACAAATTTCCAAAAATTTAATTTTGGAAGTATCATTTGTAATTCATATGCATTTTCTCAATGGATTCTGTTGTTGTGATAAAATAATTCAATAATTAAATTATTTATTTCAATGAACATTAAATATCATATCTTATTATTTTTTATCAATAAACAGAAGAAATTGTCCTCTGAATAGCGACTGTCAAAAAAAAAAAGAAATAAAGATGCGTTATCATGATAAATTCTTTTTAAATGTAAGATAAATCATGAAATGTGTGTGAGAGGATATCAGATGTAAAGTAAAAAAAACATTTACCATGATTTATCACTCAACATGGATTTTTGAGAAAATTTTATTTTTAGATATTTTATTGATTTTTTAGAAATATATTTTCTTTCCTTTTAAACAGGTTTATTAAGCTAAAAATTAAAACGCTCTAAAGAAATTTTAAAAAAGACTTACGTTTTCGTTTACATATACACGTTGGACACTTATCTCGCCATACCCTGCCGTACTTACAGTGTTCCCTGGGGTCGCACATTATTGTTGAACAACCTGTATTTTTAATTCAATAATAAATTAGAGATTTAAAGATGGCTTACTTCTATGTTTATTTGATTGATTAATATATATCATATAATAGTGTAGATGTACTCTTTTAGGCCGAGTCGGTATAAGTTCAGCCATATTTCGGCGTTTTAAAAGCTTGTACCTACCTTTCAGTTACCTGAGTGGTAGAGATTCATCCTGTGTCGAAATTATAATTCGACAATATCCAAAATACATGGAAAAATTGTAAACAAGCACACATTTGCCAGTAAAAAAAAGTTCTCTTTTTTCTAAGTAAATCGACGACTGTCGTGAATAACTTTAAGGCATTATTAAAAACTGTATGCACATATATTGTCTAAATAGCGATTAAGAGACACTGGATTCATTATAAATTTTATCAAATGATAAAGAAATTAACCTTCACGAACTCGCCCGTCCAAACAAACCACACACAAAAGTCCTAAAATCGCCACAGCAAAGAAAAGATGTCGTAATTTGATCATTCTGTGTGAGGACAATTGAAAGAAAAATTTGGCAGATTGTAGTTACATGTATGCATATATTTTGCATTTTTATATTTTTTGTTGCACTTGACAGGCATTAACATGATGTATTTCATATCACTATTACGTAAAATGAGGAAATTATTGATGGTTAGCCTCGGGTTAATTAAAACAGCTGCGTGCGTGTATCAAATTATGTGGATATGGATTTCAACATTTTTCCTTTATAATTTTTAACATCAGCCTTGTAAATCTGCTTTTTAACAATTGTGTTAACTTTTTGATTGTGTCTTTGATATTAAAAAAAATGTTACGTGAACGTATTTATTAACCATGCAATAATACACATGATGTTTTGTTTGTTCCCCTCGAGATTTTTATGCCCCTGTAAACAAAGTTTCGGGGTATATAGTTTTTAACGTGTCCGTCCGTCTGTCTGTTTAGCTGTCCGTCTGTCTCTCTGTCTGTTTGTTTGTCCGCAAAAACTTTAACCTTGTCAATAATTTTTGATTTATTAGGTCTATGACTTTCATATTTCACAGACTAGTGTATTTCTTGTAACAAGAAAGTATTGGGTTCCACCAAATTTTCCTTTTGACATTGACCTCAGAGTTTGAACCACTTTTACACAAAAATTCCAAACTTTTACTATGACCATATCTTTTGAACAATAGAAAACATGGCATTTAAAATTCACATACGTATTTTCTGTGGAAAGACCTTTCATTGGATAACAACAACCTTGACCATTTGACCATGACCTTAGAGATTTCTGTAATTATGAAATAACTCTAACCTTGGCCATAACCTTTGAACGGTAAGGAAAAGGGCTTCCAAACTTCACATATGTAATTCTTATGAGACCTCTTACCTTGACCTTGAATTTTGAACTACTTTTAAAAAGCAAAACTTGGACATAACTTTTAAAGGGTAAGGGTTGGTCTTTCATACTTTACATATTTCAACCTTGAGACAAGTCATTTGCTTGTAAGACCTTTGAACCCTTGAACTTGGAGTTTGACCTATTTTTAAAAAATTTTCACCTTAGCCTTTTTAATGGTTAGGACTAGGGCTTCCATACTTGACATTTGTATTTTTGTGGCAAGACCTTTCATTGGATACCAGTTACCTTGACCTTGTAACCTTGATCTCGGAGATTTCCGTACTTATGAAAAAACTTAAATCTATGCCTACTTTCATATTTCACAATTGTATTTCCAGTGAGAATACCCTACGTTTTGTACCAATACATTGAAATTGCCTTTAAGAAATGTTTAATCTTTGCTATGTTGCCATTAAGGGGGCATCAGTGTTTCACAAACACATGTTGTTTTGAGATGGGTTTGATCTTTAGATCTGAGATATTTTGAAATAGAAGTGACAAAACACAATAGAATATAAGCCGAAAAGTTCTGTATTATCCTCTTTGTTTTCCTACAATGGCAAATTTCATTATTAAGTATTAAAAAAAAAAAACTTTGCCAAATAAATAATTTTTATGACTAAAAAATACACAACTACACTATTTATGAGTTACCAATAGGTACATGTGTATGCAGAAACTTTTCAATCTTTTTTTTACATTTGTCTCTATTGTGACGCAGTAGTTGTAGTGTTTGCTCTAGAATTGCGTACAGAGTTGATCCTTATGTCGTGAGTTGTAATCGATGTGACGAGGAGGATAGTCTTTCCGATGAGACCATATAAATGGAGGTCCTGTGTTGCATTAGGTGCTGTTAAGAAAAAGATCCTTCACTGTTTAAAGATTGTAAGCGATGAGGGTTGGTCGTAATTTCCTGCATTTCAACACATTTTTTGCCAAAAATTATAAACATCTCTCACCATATACACTAAAGATGCTCTTTAATGATACAATTATTCCCGAATTGGAGTGTTCATTCTCTCCGTTAAAGTATCTATTTGTATACAAAGTTTAACTGTGTAGTCGATTATATTCTAAAGTGCTATTTTCATCTTATTAAAAAAAAACTATTTTAAAAAAACAATTACAGAAGATGAAAATTCGACCATAGATTCATAAACCGTATCAATGGATTATGAACGATTGTGTAGCTATAGTCCATCGAAAAGTCGTACACATTTCTCGAAAGCACCAAGAAGTACAATCTTAAAAAATGACATTCTCAATCCAACCGCTTAATGATATTTTTTTTAGTAAAGCGACATTTGAGCATCATCGACTTAGTACATGTATGCCAACTGTTGATTCAATTATTCATATGAATAAATCTTGTATCTCACCACAAAAGGATATCTCTATCATTACGCGGCGTTTTATCGTTAGCGGTTGCTACAACACTACGTTACAAGCACATGTCATGTGACCAGAGAAAATGACAGGCTTTTTATATCATTAATAGCTGCTTTTTCAATGAAAATAAAACTTTACTTACCAGATCATTGGTCATTTGCAAAAATATTTGCTTAAACACATTCTGATTGCACAAACAAGTACTCTGAAATACACATCAAAAAGATGCTTGATTTTCTGATTGACAATATCTATTTGGTTTTTGGAGACCAGGTCTTCCAACAATCTATCGAATTCCCATGGGTACCAATTAGCAGACCTATTTTTGTTTTCATATGAAACAAAATTAATGCAAAATCTTATGCGAGGAAAGAAGAAAATACTTGTTGTGGCCTTCAACTCGACATTTAGATATATCGACGACGCATTGTCAATTAACAATGGTAATTTCCATTCCTGGTGAGCTTGAGGTAAAAGAAACCACAGAGTCTGACACAACTGTTTCAGACTTGGATAATTTACTTGAAAAAGACATTAATGGTTATCTAACAACCAAGTTCTATCACAAACGGGATGACTTTTACTTTTCCACCGTCAACTTCCCTTATTTATGCAGCAATAAACCTCCATCACCTGCATACTGAGTTTATATCTCTCAGTTGATTCATCATATGCGAGAGCATGCTCTACGTATGAGCAATTTCTAAAACGAGGTAAATTATAGGCAAAAAAGTTGATGAAACAAGAATATCAGCAGTCTCGTTTAATATCATAATTTCGTTAGTTCAGCAAATAAATTTGTCGCATATCTGCGGTGATTTTCTTTGATCTTTGTTTGGTGATATATCCCATATCACATATTCGATAATGCTGAAATCAGGTCATGAGAAAAAAAAAACTTGTCGCATATCTGCAGTGAAATTATTTCACGCCCCATAGGCAGAAATCAGGTCAGATTGTTAGTCTTATCATTGAGTAAAATGCTGACTGAAATTTTTCATACAGATTGTTAGTCCATTATTTATAAACTGAATTGACGACGGATTTTTCCGTTATTTCCCGATATTGACAAGGAGCAAACGGCGGATGTGATCGGTCAGCAGGGGATGCTCACTCTTCCATGGTACCTGATCCCACTTCTGATGATTTGGAGGCCTGTGTTTGTTCTACTTCTATTTTGTATTGTTTTATGGACTTTGATATTGAATACTGTTCGTTATTACCAGTGTCATTTAAACAGCGATTAGACTAAGCAATAGTTAAAGGTTGGCTGACATGATATTGGAAGAAGACCTTTATTTTTTTAATATACATTTTTTAATTTCATTTTACTAATCAACTGAAAGGTTGCATAGGTCAATAATTAAGCAATACGTCAGGAACATTACCGTGCGTTATCTTTTGCACTTGCCTCACTTACGTCAATTGTTGTTACGGCCTTAAAAAGGTAAGCAAACATTCAACATGCAAATAATTCAAGTTAAGTCTATTTTAGAGTTCGTGACTATGTTGATACTTCCTTCAGATATTCAATTTACATAAGCACTTCCTTTCAACCAGGAACACAATGGACATCATGCACTACATAAAATATACATGTACATACAAGTGCCATATAATCGGAGACTGATACCTGTAGAATAGTTATTTACAAATTGGAGAGTATTGATGATGGCTTTTCGTGCTGGACGCATGATTGAAGAAGAACATTGGCTTGCGCAAGCTAAACAAGATTCACAAATTAGTAAGTGCCTTGAGTTTTATTTTATCATTCTGTCATTTCAAAATTTTACTGATCATGTGTTCCCTTTATTTTTTTACTACTTCACCAATAACACGTTTCCAAAAACCGTTGTTAATACCCGTACTTGGCCTGAAAATGAGACCATCGAAACCGCCATATAACATGTAGGCGGCAACAAGAATTCGGTCCATTGCGCTTCATGCATGACTTGTACATGCAGTTTTGTTTTGGAAGTAGTAAAAGAATATGCTTGAAATACGCGGTTAATAATATTTTGAAATATGCGATGAAAAAAAAATTATTGAGGATGTTCATATAAGATAGATATATATTCAAGATCGAGAGCTAAGGCACCAGCACGGAGTTGGACCTTGTGTTATTTTTATTCTGGATACGTCTGAAAGCATTCGGGGACAAGGTTTCCAGGAACTTAAAGATGTTTTCAAAACAATCATTGAGGGTAGGATAGATTTTCCCATTTAGTTTAACGTTGAAATGTTTAACTGGTTAAGATTATATTGCATTTTGTTTTCTTGTGTAATGTTTGAAAATAAAATAAGTATTGTTGGTCGTTTATTTTGCAGAGTATTCCCATTATCCAGATATAGATGAAAACGTGGCAGTAATTGTTTGCGGTCAGATGACAAAGTTTCAGAATTATTACACCAATCAGTATCATGAACTAATTCATTGCATGGGCAAGTAATCCATATAGATATGTATAATGATTGTAAATTGTATCTGTATCTGCAGTGTATCATAATTATTCTTAAATATAATATTGTGAATCTTCATTGTAACACTCTAAAAATAGATATAGCAATAATAATAATTAATTAACAATAGCAAATATATATAATGTAGGCCACAAAAGTACAACCAACATGAAAAATATTTTAAAATTCCTGAAAATTTGTTTCCTATAAAATGCTGGTTGAAATGTTCAATGTCTTTATGCACTTCAAAAATTCTTAAAACGTCTTTAAATATCCTTGGATTATGCTTGTCTGCTATCATTTTATCTAAAATGTTTAATATTATGAGAAAGAATGCTCTTTTCCAACTCCAAAGTGATTTCTAAGTTAAATTTTAATACATCAGTTATAAACATGTTTATCATAGTGGAAAGGAAGTTGTTATAGTAGAATATGTTTGCTAAACAACATTTAATCAATCTGAAAAAAAGACTAGCTATGGAGGTAATGTGAGCAATGATCATGAGAAATGATATCCCTCGTCTCTGACATCCCGATCGTTAAATGTCCTCCATGCATTGTATGTTGCCTTACGTCCAATACGAAAGAACTATATGCGGTATATTGCATATATTTGCCCCCACAAAAGTCAAATTATGAAAACTTCCTGAAATGTGCTGAATTCAATAAATTGTATGAGAAATATAAATTAACAGAAAATATTATAGTTTCAAAGCAGTGTATTCACAATATTTGTTTTAATGACGTCACAAACTAGTCCGATTTTATATCCTTTTTCAGAAAGAGGACAAAATGGACAAAATTTCAGCAATTTTAGCTTTAAAATCTATAGAGCGCAAGTTTGTTCAGGAACAATATTGACATATTTCATTGATATTATCATTCTACACATTATATCAAAATAGTGATCCTGAACACACATGCGCTCCGTGACTTTTACTCAAAATATCGACGAAATATTTACATTTTTCTGTAAAATTCATAAAAAAACTGAAATTTACGTCATGTTTGTGACGTCATTACGTACATATGACGTCATTGCTTATGAAAATATTCAGTGCTTTGAAGTCAGCATATACTCCCCTGTTTAAGATTTTAATTAAATATATCTCCATCAAAGTTTGATTTGGGGGGCAAATATTGGTTATTACCGAATAAAGTTCTTTTTTCACTCAAATAGAGACGTCACCATATGCTGGTGAAGTGCTTCAAATTTTGACCTTTACTCGGCACTCAAGACCAATGAGCAGTGAGGAATCTCTATTGTGCTAGCGCCTGTCCTGACATTGGGCCTCGTTTTTGAAGGTCTCATCCAAAGGACCCGCAACTTTAACCTCAATGTGCCGAGTGCTAATACGACAATTTTTCACTCAAATAGAGACGTCACCATATACTGCTTTAAATTTTGACCTTTACTCTGGTCAATCAGTTTTCTTCAATATTACCTTTACAACTTATATGTATTTTGTGTTTGTGTATACGCTTGTTTTCCTTTGAAGTAAAAGTATTGATAGGTTAGTATTTAACGAAAACTTTCAACATATATAATATCAATTGATTTTTAATTAAAATCATGTTAAAGATGGAGTTGAATGTGAAGGCTTATCGCCCTTAGCTGCGGGACTTCTTTTGTCTTTGGGCGCCATCCAGGACGGTGCTAGTGAGTATCCAATTTAATGAGTCAATGTATGAGGTTCTGGGTATATTAAATTTTTCATTATTTTTTTACAAAAGGAACGGAATAATCAGTCCTTTCCCATGTAATTAAGGTCACACCAGGATAATTCACACCTTTCACTTAAGACCCCGGATTGTACTTATATCTGATGGACGACCTACAGACATGAGGTTGAATGGAGATATAGATGATTCAGAACTGTTTGAAACAGAAATTGTGAGGCTCAATAACAACTTTACAAAACTAAATATGAAATTTTACATTAAATTTTTCAGGAGTTAAATAGTACCTTTAGTCAGCTAAAGTATAGTGATTTTTTTTTTTACAAAATCAATAATATGTGTCAAATTCTAGGCAAAAAGCCAAGCCTTGCAGGTTGGAAATAGACTTGGTCATCACCATCCAATATTTTGTATTCCAGTTGGCAGAAAGCCAGATATGGTAAACTATGCTTAATATATTTTTTCATTATTGAAAAGGATGCATGATATTTGAAAGAAAATGTTAATTAGAAGAACATGATACATATTTTTTGAATTTTTGTTTAGACATTTTTAGAAGCTTTGTCTGCAAGATCAATTGGTGGAAAGGTAATTTATCCACACGAAGCCCGGCTCTTTGGACGCTACAGTACATATGTGGTAAATAGACTTAAAGATATTACTGGACATGTCTGCAAATTTGTTAAGTTTTATTGACTTATTGACTTAAATTTCAAACTGACTTTAGTATAAACTGTGAAATCTGTTACAGAAATATTTTCATTTTAGAATGAAGTGGCATTTCTAACGCTCATTTGCCCAGACGTACAAAATATGACAGAAGAAATGGCTCTGCATATCTTATCTAGAAGAAAGACAATTACAAACTTCGATGATACCGACATGGTAAGGAAAGATGGAATAAAAAGAAGGGCAAATATTGTCATTTTTAGAAAAATCATATTTGATTCCTTGCATTTAAAGAAATCTCTGGTGATTTATATAAAAGTATCCTAAAGAAATTATCTCCAATTTATTAAACTAATGGAATGTAATCGTTTATACTGTAAATAACTTTTTTGCGAGAAATTTAATTTTGCTTCATTAGCCAGACTGTCTGTTTACATAAAGTTATTCTTTAATACATTGAATTTCGTATGATTAAAAAAGACAATAAACAATAGGTACCAAATAAGGGAAAATTTGACTCGGTAATAAATACCAAATTTCCATTTTGAAAAAATAAGTTGACACGAAAACAAGCGGTCTACAGTATTCATACATTCTCTTCGTTTTGATCATTATAATGTCTTAGCATTACAGGATCAAATCTTAGAAATATATCGTCGTAGAGGAACTTTCTCATCACACAGAATAGAAAATGCCCCCGATGACGATGTTGATGAAGGGGAACATTACCAGGAGCTAGACCCCAGTATGCCTCCCTTGGGAACCCGAGTTAAGAGGGGTACTACTTGGATTTGGAAGAACCAAGACGCAATGGGACCGGGCACTGTAACTGGACATTCAGTGTTAAACGGTAATTATGATAAAACGTAAGAAAATTGGTAACAGAGCCAAAAGGTAATTTGTATGTTTTATCGTAATATTATTTTGAAAATTTCAATTGACATGTAACATAGGGGTTAAGTTCTAGTACGAGTCATACATGTAGTTTGACATGTATGTAAAACACACATTTGAAAGTCATCCTTTGTCACACTCTAACTCATAAAAATCTCTCTGGCAATCCCATGGAAACTTTTGGTGACTGAGCTTGGGATTTTGTTGGTTGAGTTTATACAGGTAACAGAAGCTCATTTTGACAATTCAACTTCAAACACAACTATGATAAGATTTAAGTGAATAACCATTTCTTGTTTTTGTTTAGAGACTAGATCGTTCATATTACAATTATTGGCATTGAAATTTCTCAAATGCAAGTTAAACTCCAAGGTCAATATTATTGGTACCCAATGGAAGTTCTTTTCACACGGAATGCACCTGTTTAATATCAAAGCCCTATTATTAACAGTCCAAAAGTTATTTTCAAAGTTAAAGATTTTTTCTTAAGTAGGTCAAACTCTACGGTAAAGGTGAAAAGATCAAAATTTTTTGTATCCAAAGGAAGGTCTTGTCACAAGGAATCCACCTGTAAAATATGAAGCCCCTTGCTGTTCATAGGTTATGGCCAAGGTTAAGGTTTTTAAAAGTGGGCTAAACTCTAAGTCAAGGTCAAATATTTGTAACGCAATAAAAGGTCTTGTCGCATTGACTACACATGTGAGGTATTTAAGCCTTAGCATCAACTATTCAAAAGTTATGACTATGGTTTAATAATTTTTTGGTAAATGTGGGTCAAACTCCAAGGTAAAGGTCAATAGGTATAATTTAATGGTACTAAAAAGAAAGGTCCTGTAACAAGAAATACACCTGTGATATGTAAGCCATATGTCCCACCCACTCAAAAGTTCTAGACAAGGTTTCCGTTTTTGCGGACGCACAAATACATAAACAGACAAAAAGACAGATAGCCGGACAAACAGGGTAAAACTATACAGTGTATACCTAAAATCTTTAATTATTGGGGCATGAAAATCAAATGCGCAAGTAATTTTTTAAGGTTAAGGTAGGACACAATAGATAGGCCAAATTTTTCCTCAAATTCAATTTTCATGAAACTTTGATATTTTGTTCTAGGATACAAAATCTCTCTTTATGTATGATATGAAAGAAATTCAACCACACATTTTTTGCCCACATAGTCCGAAATATGGCCTATCAGACCCCTGTAAGAAGATTGTAAAATCAGACATTAGACTTGAGAATGAGCCTTATTTTTAAATTATCAATTGATCTATTGCAAATTTGTGTAATACTTTTAATAAAGATAACCTTTTTGTTGCTTAAAGTTAGTAAGTCAACTTGATACTGGAAAATTTTAGTAAAATATTAAGTAAAAATAGAACATACTTAGCGTCGGAATTGAAAATTTACATGTAAATATCCGACAGTTTAAGTTTTCTTAAGAGAAAATGTATAATTCAATTTTTACAAAAAATCAACAGAATGATTCAAATGGGTCTTAGAATAAAATGTGTAAAAATAATAAAAAATTGAACCGGCGGTTTCAGATATTTTTGCGATCAAAAAAATTTCAATGGCAAAAAAACTAAAAGATTCAGTAGATGATGTCACAATTTTTGACCTTTGACCTTTTGATATGACCTTGACCTTAGTAGTACATAAAGAATGGAGACCCCTAATATATGTGTCCAAATATCATTCCTCTACTATGTATGGAACAAAAGTTACACTGCATTTTATAACAGACTGTCACATGCTTGTTTATTACGCTTAGTTAGCATAAAAACATTCCAAAATGTAAGCCCCCAAGTGACCAATATATAGGATTCTCTGATTTTTTCACAAAATATGATGCAAACATGCCAAAACTTATTATTTTTCTTACAGGGATTATTCATTGTTGTCAATATAGTAATATTATTCTTCTTTTCTCCGGTCTTTTTAAGAAATGGATTAAAATAGAATCCACGGGTGTTTTGTCCTACCTTAACATCCAGTTTACTTGTGTAGTTTAACTTAATCAATTTGTCGCAAAAGTGAACATTTACTTAGAGAATCAAATTAATATCGAAGAGTGATAAAACGGTTACTTTCTTCGAATAGTTTATCAGTTACAGGAAAAACCCTTATGAATATACAACTTTTAAACTAATTTAGCTGGTTGGTTGTACGTTTGCTGGGATCATGGCCTGACATTTAATTATCGATATGGTGACTTATTCTCCGACGTAGAGGTTTGCGATGAACCAAGAATTTTATGCAGCAACGAAAAAATTGCTCCAGGATGTCTTGTTCAGCGTGGTAATCCACACATTTTGTAAATGTTGTTGTTTCTGGAATTTTATTCATGATGTTATGCTGATAATAATAAAATATTTGTTTTATAAATAGGGCCCGACTGGAAATGGGGGAATCAAGATGGGGGGCCTGGGACCGTTGGTATGGTGTATAGAGTGACAAACAACTCAACTATTTATGTAAATAGCAGTCAACAATTCTTATGTTCTTACTAAACTACCTTGCCGATCATATGTTTAACATAGATAATATAAAGGTTTTGAGCTATTCTTTGAGCGTTTTGCTTTCGAGTCGCGAGGCAAATACAAATATAAGATCCTTACCAAATTGGTTAAACTGCACAGGACGTAACGACTAGTCCCTCCGATGAGACCGATTGTATAAACAGAGTTCCCGACCGTGTCGTCGTAGTTGTTTGCACAAGAAGAATCCCTCATTGCTCTATGTCAAGAAACTCATATGTTTCCACTGGGAATCGTTAACGACCCTATACAAGTTAAAATTACTTGAATAAAGGGAAGCAAACAAACAAAGAAAATTTATTCGACTTTCATTCTAATTTAGGATCGTCGATAAAATTTTACAAAGAATTTGTCAAATTATTTGGTTTGGAATAATTCTCGTCAAATATGCACATGAATCCTATTATTTATAAATACTTTTCATATTACATATTTCTCATATTAGGTAAGATGGCCCAATTCAGTAAGAAGTAACTACAGGTTTGGTTATAAAGGAAAGTACGATGTACAACTTTGGTACGTTTCTATTTGGCAAATAGGCAACCATTTTATAATATTTTCATGTGATTAAGCATTGTATTTTCTTTCTTATATCTTTTTATTGTTCAGCAATCCCTATGCAGATGGAAACAAATCTTTTAGAAGTAAGTTGTGATTTTGATCATAAAAAATTATGTCCTAATTAAAACAACGAATACCAGTGTTCTTTGCTACATCATAATTTATCTTAATGATTGCACTCCCCTCTGCTATTGTTCTTTCATACGTTTATTGGCGAGAACAATACAATTTTTCATCACCAATTTTCAAAACTCAGCTGATCATGTGACACAACCCTGTGCATTCAGGAAAGATTCAAGATACAGTAGCACTCTTGATGGTTTAAGGCGGATTTGGATGTGGAAAGATGCTTCGGGAAAATGGAACCAATATTCTTACCAGGTTAACGATGCAATTAATAGGAATTATGACAGAAATCAACAATCCACAGTTCTGATAAAAATGGCGGGTGAAACGTAAGGTTTTTCGTCATTCTTGGCAAAATCTTGTTATTTTTACAGAAGAATAACTTTTGTGTCTTTGTTGAATACCTTATGTTCCTCCGTTTACCCCTTACAATTAGGTTCAGAGTGGTGATGTCAAAAAACAAACAGATCAACGTTCATTCGAAGGAGATAAATGAAGTGTCATGGAAATGGAACTGACGGAATAAATGTGTCAAAGATAATTAAACTGAATCATGATAAATTGATTTGCCTTTTAAAAATTTGTTCCTATACAAATCTTTACTTTAAAAAGTCTAGTATTTCTAATGTTTTGCCCAGCGGGCATAACAAAAATCGATGTTGGACCGCTGAGCGAGATGTTGGACCGACCGGTGAGATGTTGGACCGCTTACGTCGGAGCTTAATCTCATTTTCATTCGTTGGATTTTAACAGTGACGGACCTGATGTTACATCACGTAAGACAGTACAAAAGACATGTATGCCAAAAAATAAAATTAAATGAAAGGTATAAAAAACATTTATTGACGGAGTCCTCGGGCAAAATGCGTTTTTGGACCCTCGAACCAAACGGTCTGCCTTCGACCTCACGGTCTCAGGCAGGCAATTTAGTTCTTGGGTCCAACAAAACGCATGTTGCCCTCGAATTTGGTCAATAAATGTATAATGTAGAGTATTAATATACAAATAATTTTGTTAACAGAAGTTTTTGATGAAGTTTAATTTAATGGACGTTATAGCCACCAGAGTCTCTTTGAGACGGCAAACCAATGTGTGAAAGGATGTCTCGGTTGATTTACCATATAATTTTTTAACCAAAAAGATAGGGGACTAATTTGAGGATAAATAACAAACTTTTTTCCTAAACCATTAATATTTCTTATAGTTATATTTCAATTAGTAACCTGAATAATGTTTTCCAGGGAAAGTGGATAAATTTTATACGACTTTGTCAAAAAGTTTAAAAAATTGTGAATAGAATTATATAAATACATGTACATGTAGTGAAACAAAGTTCCGTATCTCAGCACCAAATTACGATTTTTTATATTTAAAGAATTTATTAGTCCCTCTACCGGTGAATCCGGAGGGGACTATAGGTTTACTCTGTCTCTCTCCCTCCTTCTGTCCTCATATCTGTCTGTCAGTCTGTCCTACTTGGTTTTCCGCATTTTTTTTCTAAACACTTGCAGATATTGAGCTGAATTTTGGTATGTGTGTGTATCTATCAGTTACAGATCAAGTTTGGATGTCGTTTCACTTCATTGATTTTTGACAGATTTATGGCATTTTTAATTTTTCATAATACTGTAAGATCGGACTCGTGCTGCGCTAAATTCCAAAGGTCAACATGGTAAAAACGAAGTGAGAAAAAGACGAAAAAAAAAAATGAGTTGAATTTTCGTCTTTATGTGGATTATTTTTTAGCTTAAAGGCAAACAAAACCTCAAAATTGTTAACATCAAGCAGTTTTACCTTGGTCATAACATTTGCATATTAGAAAATGACATCCTAAAAAAAAAGGGGAACCCGGTTGGGGACATATATTGCTAATGCAGTACGTTCAGAACGCTTGTTATTTATATGTCATCTCTAATCAAAATCAGTCACAAATCCATACATCTAATTTTTGTTTTTGTTACTGTACGTACCTTTAATACGGTTCTTTACAAAAAGATACCATAGTTAAATAAAGTGTTAACTTTAACATTATGAAAACTTTATTTTACTATAGTGATAACTTTGACACTTTAACACTTTAATCTAATATAGTGATAACATTGAAATTTTAAATAAACTATTAGAGATAACTTTGTCACTATGAAAGATTTCATTTACTGTGTAGTTAATATTATGAAAATTTTGATCTAGTAAAGTTGTACCTCGAATGTTGTTTTTTATATATATATATATATATATATATATATATATATATATATATATATATATATATATATATATATATATATATATATATATATATTGTCGTATTTAAGATGTTACTTGTATATACGACCTTTTTGATGTACTTAATAACTTTTGATAATGCTGTTATGCAAATATAGTGCATATAGGCAACACCCATCAGCCACGCAATTCTAAATTTATAGGACCCGACACAGTGCTGTGATTTTTCTTATTTCTCTTTCATTTTGACATCGTTTTGAATAAGCTATTGCTTATTGACATAATTGTTTTTTCAGCAGTGTGTTTCGGTGGTTTTATATAGTATTGATGTATTAAAAATCTAAATCACGGCCCCACCTTCATCAGGGATCCTGCCATAATTTTTATTGTGGCAAAATAGCATTTGTTAGCAAATCACCAATACTTTTATGCTTAGCATATGCAATCATTGGTTTTGTTTGAAAAATTTGTTTACATGTTTCATCTTTCAAGATTAATGACCAGTATTTTAATAATTTGGATTTCAGACCTTTGATTCTTGGATCATACTTTGTAATTAGAACATTAGGTATTTCCTTCGTTTTCTTGGTTTCTTGTAGTGTTGTGACTCTGTTTAAAGCCAAGGAGTCATTAATAATTGGGTCAATCTCAATTTTCTTGTACTCTCTTTTTAAAAGATGTGATCTGAACTCAGCAAGTTCTTTATATAATTGTGTCTTTTCACTTGTATTGCGAACATGTCTTATACATTCCCCCTTAACAAAACCTTTAAATACTGATTTGGGGTGAGCGCTGTGGCGGTGCAAATATTGGAATGCATTTGTTGGTTTTATATATGACTTCACATCAAGAATATGATATTCTTGGAATCGGGTTCCTTTGTATACACATGTGTCCAGAAATGGTATTGATTCTACAGATAATTCATGGGTAAATTTCAGTAAGGGATGGCATTCATTTGCTGTTTCGAAAAACCGTTTGATTTCGTTTTCCGAGCCATCATAAATCATGAATCCGTCATCACGGAATCGCCCATGAAAACAGATTTTCTGTTTGTATTCCGAGTTGTTTACTAACATTTCAGTTATTTGATACATTCTGATGTCCGATATTTCTGGACTACTGGGGCTTCCCATTGGACACCCGATTGTTTGTTTGTAATATCTGCCATTGAATTCAAATAATGTGTTTTCTAGAATGCACTTTAGTAAAAACATCAAGTCAGCTGTCTCAGGACAAGGAATGTCTAAGTGCATGTTGCAGTCGAAATTCAATAGCGCTTCTTCTACCGCCGTAGAAAGTTCATTGAAGGTCATATTTGTATACATTGATGTTACATCGTAAGTAACGAGTAAACAGTTTTTTGGCGGTTTGATACTTTCAATTTTGTTGATGAAATCTTTAGTATCTTTGATATATGTTTTTTTGAGATTGAACAATAGGTAGTAGGAAATAATCCACGTAATGACTTATTCTTTCCGTTGATGACCCTATTTGTGATATGATGGGTCTACATTTTGGAAATTTATTGTCATTTTCTCTCATTTTATGTACTTTAGGCAACACACAGAGTCGCCCTGGTCGTACATTCTGTTCGTTTGTTTTTGTAAGATATGAGAATGTTTGTTTGTCTAATTTTCTTTTTTGAAACATTTCATTTAGTTTGTTCTCTATAATTTTATAGATAATAGACAAATTAGGTTTTTCTATTTCAGTATAATACTGTGTCGATAATTGGCGCAGACCCTCTTCAGTGTATTGTTGTTTATTCATTATCACAACAGTGTTACTTTTGTCTGCTTTTTTGATAACGATGTCTTTATTGTTCCGTAGGTTATAAAGTGCCCTCCGTTCGGAAGGTGATATGTTAGAAACATCTGATTTGATCTGAATTGATGACACCTCTAATTGTGTAAGATCTATATAGTTTTCGAGTGCTTGGCATGTATAGCTAGGTTTATAACCCGTATTTTCTCGAAAGGGATGTAAACGTTCATTTTCATCCGTGCTAAAATGATATTTGCATTTCAGTTTTCTTGCAAATTCTAGAAAATCTTTCATGACTTTGTTTTTGACGTTTTTTGTTTTAGAAGTCGGGATATATTTTAATCCCTTTGATAATAATAATGTTTCACTCTCTGTAAGTGAATGATTGGAGAGGTTAAGTACGTAGCTTTGAGCTTTACTTATTTTGGCCAATACTTGGCGCTTTTTCCGAGAGGAAGAATTTCCTGCTCTTTTTTTGTCTTTTTGCTAAATTGGCGAGCTTATTAAGACGTCGAGCCATGTTGCGTACAACAGAATGAATGACTGATTGAATCTAATGCGATTTATAAACAAAACTATTACTGTGTTACGCCCTGTAGGCGTTCCGTCGTTTACAGACATTTCTTACCAGTGCATAAGTAAAGAAAGATAACTCCACAAAGTATTGTATACTAGTATATCAACGGTTTAATTGCATCAAAATAAAACAATTGTTGATGCTGATTATACTAAAGTTCAAGAAACACACAAGAGTTAGTAAGGTCGATAGTAACGACCTCGTCCCCTTGGAAAGTTCCTGGTTCCACCACGACCACGTCTACTTTCGTTCCGGTTGTTTCTTGAAGAAGATTCACGTATGAATCTGGTGAAATTTTCGATTTCAAGAGAACATATTGTTTTCTGTTCGTTGATGAATTGGTCAATTTCGTTTTTGGTTTCCATCGCATTTCCCAAACTATAGAGCTGATTCTTATATCCTATTTTCGAATCTTAGACATGAAAGCCTGTCTTCCCAATGAGATTATTTAAACTTAGGTTTTTCTTTTGTATGGACAACGGCACGATAACTATCCCCACTGCTCAAAGGCTGTTGGTGTCCTTAACAAACAGCAAGTTGTGGTGTCCTAAGACGGGTGACAATTCTCGAAGAGAATAAAAAAAAAATCCAAGTATACTATAGCATTATTGATTTTTTAAAAAATAGGTTAGTAAGATTATGTAAAGTAAAATGACATTAAACCTCCCTCCAAAAATATGGAGGAACAGGAAATTAGGATAAAAATGATATTAAAGTTCTTTCGGAAAAACATATTATCCGTCCTTGTATATGTGTTGACTCTCAATCGAAAGCCATCTTTAATGTATGTATATGGGAAACGATAGGAATAGGGAAGAAGTCATTAGATTACATATTTAAGTGTTTCTCGTGAGTTTCAATGTGTATGCCTTTACATCATGGATTTTGCCTTGGAGAATGCACAGCAATTTTGGCGACAGCAATCATTAATCGATGCGGTAAAAAGTAAGTTTAAAAAACATCAAATGAACATATCCTTCTTCCTATTTCTTTACGAAGAAGATGAATTCGTTAAATGAAATCATTTGTTTATCTGAAATTATTTGTTGTAGATCGTGAACGAAGGTATCAACAAGGGAGAGGGGCATGCAATATATTTATACTAGACACGTCCTCTAATGTGGGAGAAGAAGGGTTCATTCAAATGAAGGAGACATTTTGCACCATCATGGATGGTACTTAGGATATGATTTCGCTCTTTTTTTTATTCAATAGTCCCTTATACAATGTTTTGGAACAAAAGAACTTTAGTTCTATAAACATGAGAGACAATCACACGAGTGAACTTCAAAACCACCCTGTTACACCTATGGTGATTGATGAAAAGTGGATTCTTGACAAAGCATGGACAATGAAAAATGTACAGTGATCAATGTAAAAGAATCTACAAACAATAAAAAAAAATTTGAACAGGGTATAAGACGCAGCCCTTTAGAAATATTCGGAATAGTTGGTATCATGTGGATACAATGTACTAAGGATTAACACCCGCTTCTGACCGATCACACTCGTTGTGAGCTAAATGTATTGTTCAACAAATGAAGAAACATTATGAAGTCACATATATTATAAAAATCAAAGGTCAAACACGTCTAAAAAATACGATCTAATGCAATGTTATATTTGTTAATCATGTCATTATAGCAACCATAGAATTTACGAAATTCTGACAGTAAATGAAGTTCTAGAAAATTCTGTATCATCAACGTTTCTGTCAATAGCGTGCATCAGTTTAAAATGATTGTTCTCAGAGCAAGTTCTTGATTAATCAATTAAGACAAAAAAGCCAGGTATCTGGGTGAACAACAAAAACCTTTTTCACAAATTAACAGGAATTTTTAAACTAGAAAACCTCACCAGTCTAAATAAGCAATTTCCTTTCAATCAAATATGTTATGCTACATGTGTCGCCTACATGTACATAAGAAATTTCTTTTAAATATAAATTGATATTTCAGAATATGCGAAATCAAGGATGGATGAAAATGTAGCTGTGGTGATTTGCGGTAGAACAACGACATTTAAGCATCACTACTCCAATAAATACAATAGATTGAAGTGCTGCATCGGTAAATCTCAAATAAATTCATCTAGAATATTTTTTTAACAATATGTCATTTGGTCATGATTTCCTTTAATTCATTACATAACTACTACCATAAGACTTCTTGACTTATTCCCGAAATAAAAGAAAATAATCAACCATCTTCTTTTGACTGATTTTTTTTTCTGTCTTTAGACATTTTATCGTAAAGCCGATATAATTTCGATCCTTGGTATGTTAGTTGAGATAATCATGAGCTTTTGTTTAAAGTTAATTTTTGCAAATCATCTATAAAAAAATGAATTTTATAGGCTTAATATTATCAACATTTTTTCAGATGATGTTGAATATGGCGGTCCCTGTCCTCTTACAGCAGCTTTTATTTTATCAGAAGGCGCTATTCTTAACGGCGCAGGTATGTTTTATATTCCATAATTTATGATAACAATTAGGTTCTTTTTATTCTGAAAATTTTAAAATTTAAATGATTTTCTAACTGAAACAAATTAAAAATAAAGGAGATGTTTTTTATACTTCAAAGAAATATTAACGACACTGCAAATTCTTTATTTTCTTTTGATTAGTGTTGAAGAGAACTACGGAAGCCCAATAGTGCAAACCAAAAATAAATAAAGAAAAACGAAATTATTAGATAAAGAAAAACTAAATTAATATATAAAGAAAAAACGAAATTATTGAATAAAGAAAAACAAAATTATCAAATAAAGAAAAACAAAACTATCAAATAAAGAAAAACGAAATTATTAAATAAATCATTTCGTTTTTCTTTATTTAATAATTTCGTTTTTCTTTATATATCAATTTCGTTTTTTTTATTCAATAATTTCGTTTTTCTTTATTTACTATTTTTGTTTTTCTTTATTTAATAATTTCGTTTTTCTTTATTTATATTTTGGTTTGCACTATTGGGCTTCCGTAGAGAACAGTATAAATAAAGGTATATTTAAATGTATTCTTAATTATACATGCTTAGGTTATTCCAAAATGATGGGACATTTTCATATACATCCACGTCTCATTGTTATTTCTGCTGGTAGACCTACGGATTTTACATCCATGATTGATACAGGCGACAGGTTTATACGAAGATCCGCTGAGGTTTTATTTTAATTATACATTTTTAAAATAAATTTGACTAAAATATCAATGGATTCATCTTATTTCCCAATTAACAGATCAGATTTTATTTAATTTCTGAAAGTAACACAATGAGTCAAAATCATGTTTCTTTTACAATATCTGTAGCTTACAGAGAAAGACTTATGAAAATTATGAGTATAGAACTGGGATATGACATTTAAACTGCAAGAAAAAAATGCGCAATATAAGTGCCGGAGAAACAAAGGTTGTATCTATCGTTTCGTTGTTTTCGTGTATGTCAGGGTCGCGCCACTTTTATTTTTAGCTAAAACTTGTAACCAACATTCAACTTGAGCATGCAGAGGTGAGAAATATGTTCTAACAACGTTTTTTAAAAAAATGTATCGAAATTTTTGGTCTACTTACATTCATTCCTGGATACATGAGACCATGGTAACTATGGAAACTTTTTCAACTTTTCTGCGCACGCGTACAATAGGGAGGAAGAAGTATTTTCGTTATGGGGCATACTGAAATTATTTTTACTTTTGTTTTTCTCCAAAAAGATAGAATTTTTAGGTTCTGAAACCTGTAATTTTCTGAAACCTAATACTTTTTGAAATTGAACAAAAATTAACACAGGTCATGCACAAATTCTACATTTGTCAATTTTTCCCTTGTGTGTCACGGTGTCCAATTAAATATGTACACTTAAGCGGATTATGATTTAATCACTAATGATTTTGCTAAGTTATTTAAATGCAGATACAGATAATTTGGCATTATACATCCAGGTGAGAGACCATTTGCATCAGACGGCACGAAATATCGGACGGGTTCATCCAATTTATTGTATTCCCGTTGGTCATAATCCAGACATGGTATCATTGTTTAGTACAATTTTTCATACAATTAATTTCAATCTTAAAACAAATCAATGATCATGATAGAACATTTGAAATGATTCCAGTTAGAGAAGATTTTTTGATTTAATAAGAATGTAATTAAAATAAAGAATATAATCAAAACATCTGGACTGTTTTAATTTATTGATCTGGAAAATACATGTATGCTACAGGAAGTTTTTGTGATACTTTTTTTTAGCATTAAGATGCAGTGAACAGTACGACATTTAACTCTGGACACGACATAGTCCAGACTTTTTACTACCATTTCTAATTATGATATCTAAAATATTTTTATATCACTTGGTGGGATTTCTTAACAGTATTCCAGGATCGTATGTTGAACTCACAAACACTTCCACTTCTTAAGATATGAAGTCCTAAAACTCAGAATCCCATGGGAAAAATCCCATCAACTATCCCACGCTTCTCCCATGGGAGAAAAAATGTCAGATGGGATATTTTCTTCAAGAGGATTTTTTCTCCCATGAATTTGTTCAAATGGGATAAAATCCAACGGATATTGACAATGAATTATTTTCTCATATACATTGTTATATTTGGTACATTTTCTATATATTATGATGAGAAATTTGTCATTGTCATAATGTATCGGATATATTTCATGTTTCACAATGTATTGGAGATATTGTTTGATTGTCAATATGCATGGGATTTATCCCATTTGATCAAATTTGTGGGAGAAAAAATCCCAATGGGAGAAAATATCCCAACTGACATTTTTTTCTCCCATAGGAGAATGGTGGGACAGTTGGTGGGACTGAAAATCCCACCATTCTCCCATGGGATTCTGAGTTTTAGAACTCCATATCTTTAGAGGTTGACATGTTTGTGAGCTCAACATAAGACCCTGGGATACTGCTAAGAAATCCCAATAAGTGATATAAAAAAATTTTATATCACAATGAGAAATGGTAGTAAAATGTCTGGACTATGTCATGTCCAGAGTTAAATGTCGTACTGTTGGTGTATCTTTTAAGTACAAAATTTGAAATATATATATATTTGAATTTCGACAGGCGAATTTAGAATTTATGTCTGCTCATTCCAGAGGGGGAAAGATTATTCTTTCACATCAGGCAAAACAGTTTGCAAAACTCACGGAAAATATGGTAAAACGAACTTCAATATTTATATGTATATTTATATACATGTATGATGTGATTATTGAGTGATTGTTTCGTTTAATGATTTTAAGAATAGCAATCTGATGGCAAAAGCCACTACTAACAATACAAAGTTAGATGTTTCTACTTGGATAAATATTTTAAGTGCAATATCATTCTTATCTATTTCAGAATGCTGCCGCATTAATTACATTTTCAACAACTTTAGATAACTTAGATAAGAGGGCAATTGAAGATCTGATGTCTCAAGTTATGCCTGAAAGGGAGTTCACTAAAATGGATAAGGTTTTAACAAAATTTACATATTTGTCTTTACTTTGTTATACAGTTCATTTGAAAATTTGTGGGAATCATTCTAACCTCTTTATTCTTTACCTATGTTACTCTTACAACTAACTTGAGGTTTAAGATTCTCAAAAGAAAGCCTTATATTAATTTGTTATAGGAAGATATATTCGATATCTGTTCATTAAAATCGGTCTTTATATCAATGGATGAGATCCAAGCAGAGAATGACAATCATGAGATGGAAATGCATGCCCCAAACCTGGATCCGAATATGCCTCCATTAGGAAGTAGGGTGAAAAGAGGTCCAGACTGGATGTGGAAAAACCAAGATCGGCATGGCCCTGGTACAGTTATAGCGCCTTCAAAAGATGGTAAGCTGAACCTTTTAGCCATTTAAACCAAAGGATGAAATGAGCTTTTGTGATCATGTGTCGATTGTACTTTGTCTTCCAGTCCATCAGTTTGTAGGGCTGTCCGTTTGTTAGCTAATTACTTTGGATGATTGTCTCCAGAAGTACAGGGTAAAATTTAAGATCTATTTCATCTTCGATAGCCAAGGGTTTCTGATAAGCTATTCTCTCCTCATAAACCCTTGGCATACGGTGCAGTCAAAATAAAGGGATTTGTTTTCGTCACGTGATCTCGAATCTACCTGGTACGCACATATTGCGTCATCGCCAGAAACAAAAAAGCGTATTTAAAAAAAATTAATCAGGGTTTTTAAAGAATGAATAAGAAGCAAGTATTGAATTATGTGTTTTTCTTATTTAAAGTGCAAACTTCAATATAGATGTTTAATCCCATATTTTGAAGATGTTGGATGACACCATACATGTAGCTATTCAAAGAGTGACATGTTATCCTACGGATTGTTGTTTACTTGCGTTTTTCATTACCGAGATTAAAGGGTCAAGATGTCTCGAACGCAGATATCGTCATTTACCAAAAAAAAAAAACAATTGCTGATTGGTCGATCATTGTGATCAACTCCAATCACAACTTGAGAAAAAAATTCCCAATGTTTTTAAACACCGTATGCCAAGGGTTCACGAGAAGAGTAGCGTATCATAAACCTTTGGCTAGAGAAGATGGATCTACTTTTTCATATTGATATTTATAATATCGAACAATTTATACAGCTCAAAGAACTTTTTGAACTCATATGGTTTTTCGCACAAATTTAGATCACATTTTTCTTGCAATAAAACTTAGAATTATCGAGCCCCAGTGCGAGACATAATCCTTATATTTTCAAATATTTCATGTTAAAGGTGCATTTTCTCTAAAATCATCATCTCAAGTTTTAAAACTCGATGTTTTAAAAGGTAATGTGATCATAAGTTGTATGATGTAACATGTGTATGATTCTACCATAGGTATTTACAAATTAATTAATCGAGTTTTCTTTGATACTATTTAGTTGAAATGTTCAAATTGACTTCTTTTAGATGAGTATTTTTCAAAGTACTTTGCACATTTTCCGTACTTGTCTCGGTTTTGTGGAAATGCAGCGCCGAAAAATAAGTCAATTATTACTATTGAAAATAAAATTCTTTTACTTTTATGATTACGGTTTCTGTATTTAGGCAAGGTAAAAAGTATGTTTTAAAATGAACGGATACAGAGACGGCTGCATTTGACGAGAAACCATGAAAAAATCATTTGGGAAGTGCCAAATCTATTATCCAAGAACATATAAAAATCCTACCGACTGTTATGTGTGAATTGTATTTAAAATAATGGAATAAGATCAAAATTAAGTTATAAATCACTTTTAAAATATATTTTATTGTTACGTTACACAATTTACATTATAACAATGTGACCTTAATTTGTGCGAAAAACCATGTGGGTATAAAAAGTGCGTTGAGCTGTATATTCGTTTTATTTAAAATTATTCTAAAGGTGATTAAATTAACAAACACGGGAAAATAAGGGAAAGGATTTTTAAAAAAGCGAGACCATAGAGACTTGTTTAGTGTTATGACCCATAGTACTCTTGTTAATGATTATATATAGGGAAAAGTGTATATTTCAAAATATATTTTTCATGAATAAATAAAAAGTCAGGCGCGGATCCAGGATTTGGAGTTAGGGGGGGGGGCGCCAAAATAAGCCAAGGGGTCTGGGGGCCGCCGTGAGGCCCCCAGTGGGTCCAGGGCAAAGCCCTGGTGGGGGCCCAGGGGGCGAAGCCCCCGGAAGCTCCTGGATTCTAGAGATTTTGAAGGGTTAAAATGAGGTCTACCAAAGCCCTGGTGGGGGCCCAGGGGGCGAAGCCCCCGGAAGCTCCTGGATTCTAGAGATTTTGAAGGATAAAAATGAGTTCTACCAAGTAGACATATTTGATTTACACTAACTTTGACAATTTTAGGGGGGCGCGCGCCGGGTGCGCCCCCCCCTTAAATCCGCCACTGAAAGTCTTATGAAAAGTTGACTACCTTCAGTGTCACACACAAGCTTTATCAGAATTATCAATCAAACTGGAAATTAATGTAAATTGTATTATAATCATATTCTTCCTGTATGAGTTTGATGCAAATCAAAGAGTTGCGGTCTGTGCATGTTTTTGGTCATGTTTAAAGATAATTTATTTACTTGCAGGTTAAAATTCAACTCGTCTCCGTGTAAAGAAACGATTTGTTGTAACATCATCATTATATGTTCATGTCTATAAATTATGCAATTTCTTTTTGAGAAATTTTGATTTAAATAATTATAATCGATATACAGGAATGCTTATTTAAATTTTCCATAACTTAGAAATATATTTCATAGTTAATCAAAGTATGTTGTTTAATATTTCACTGGGGAAGAAATTAAATGCTTGCATTTTTATAACAAAAGCTGGATGGTTGATAGTGCGCTGGGATGCAGGCACCGCAGATGGATACAGATATGGAACAAATACTGTTCTGAAGGATAAATATGATGTTGTTGTTTGCACAGAACCACGGATTCTAAATAATGAGCTTATTGCTGTCGGATGTTTGGTACAAAGAGGTATATAAATTTTAAAACGAGCTTCAAGATATCATGCATGTACGTAAATGACTTTAATTTGATTTATGGTTAATTATACAAGACAGTATGCAAATCATAAATCGATAGGTTCTTCTCTAGATTTTCTAATCCCCCCTCCCCCATAAAAAAAGAAACCCAATAAAATTCACAGGTTGAAATTCAAATACTGTGGATGCATCAAATGTCCTTGGGAACAATTTTTGTGGATTGCTTTAATTTTACTGGTTAGTTGGGACGTACATGTAATTTCACTACATTTTGCTACAATGCAAACCAAAGGAAAAGTACTTGGAACTGATTGCATATTAATTTGTAGAGAAAGTATTTTCGTGGAAGAAGGGTATCCACTAATTTCACAAATATTGGGTCATCGCAGAATATTTAAAAAGTCAAAAATCGGGAAAACTATTTACCAGCTTCATGTGTTCTGCTTTTAGGTGTATATATAATGCACTGGAAACGTTAGTACACAGTTAAAATAGCATTAAGGGTAGTTAACATGAAAAAAATATTTTGAACTCTCTCAATGATAAATTTTTAAACTGCAAATTTTGGATGTGTTCAAAGTACATGTACAATAGGAGGTGTTATTATCTCTGTAGCCATTCAATATTCTGTCAGCCAAAAAATATATCATTGTCAATTGATTGTACAACGGAAGCCAACTCAGTTCCCGATGGCCAGTAATTTGTTACATCCGTATAACAATTTGGATAATTAAAGAGAACATTTTTTTTTTAAATTAAGTCGCAAATAATATTTATGGATTTTTTTTTTTTTTTACAAAACACACCTTTAAGTAATTCCTGATCAGTTTTCGGATGAATTTTAATTTAACTACTTATACTTTCAAAAATGTAGGTAGTTTTAAATGTCTATTTCGATATTTTGAAATAGCAATAATTGATGTACAGAGTAAGATAATGTTATGAATCTATTGTGTATATTGTTCTTTGAGTTTACTTGACAAGGATTGATAAAAACATAACCAAGAACACTTTCTTTTCTCCGTAAATTTTCTATATTCATGACAAGATTAGTCTTATTAGAATATCTTGAAAAACATAATTATCTATGATAAGTTATTGTATAGGCTGGTATTCCGACGATCAAGATGGTGGAATCGGAAAAATTGGTGCAGTGTATAAAGTAAATCCAAATGGAGTTGTTCAAGTAAGAAATTCACATTTTTATTAGTTTGAAATTTTGCATCGTTTCCTTAATTTTCGATCATAACAAGGAGCACACGGTGGATGTGACCGTCAACAGGGAAAGCCTACTCCCCCACAGCACCTGGTCCAACCTCTGATGTTATAGAGGTCCGTGTTTGCTCTGCTTCGATTTTTGTATTGTTTAGTGGACTTTTGAGCTTGTAAAATCGTGCTCTTCATATGTTTCATTTCGACTTCATTTTCAAACAACTGAAAAAAGCGTTTTATCTTATTGCAACAGGTTAACTGGTCCAACGGCAGTAGAGGCAGCTATAAATACGGAGCAGAGGGGGAGTTTGAATTAACTTTATGGTTAATATGGCTATTAAACATTCAAGGATTATAAAATATGTTTGAAAATATATGATATATATATACACCTACAGTGTATAAGCATGTATGTAACAATCCATTTAATTCTTATTGTTTATAAAACTGAGATTTACATCACCATAAATAGCTTTGGATACAATTCCTTCGATTTCATTCATACACAACAAAATTTTTACTGTATGTAAGTATATTTAAAATGAATTTTTCTTCCAGCAAATGTGAGAATTTTGAACAATCAAACATATCCCAAAACTTATAGATAATATAATTTTCAGAGAAAAGTTTCAAAACACGCCTTTATAATATTTTGACTTCAAAAATACTCTAGCACCATAAAAAACGATACATTTAGTCATGATATTATATTGAAAAAAAAATATATATTAACTTCAAATCTGTGTCCAAGCCCATTTAAAGTACCAGATATTAAACCTTTCTGGTATGCTGAAATGTATTTTATTACTCTTATATTTCTTTTTAAGTGACCCTTTCTCACTGGAGGTACGCAGATATTTACAAGAACAAAGAACATGTGCTGCCTCTAAACTTCCGAATACATTGCAGTACGTTTATTGCAATTCTTCCTCTGAAGGTATATGTCTAAAAACAATTTGATTCTTATTTTACATGTACATTTTTGGCATCACTCAAATTGTAGATTTCTGATTTTGAATGTCATTTTCAATTTTAAGCTCAGAATTCAGTAAGTACGAAAAACAGAGGAAGACTGAAGACTAAGAAAAGGCTTGCGAAGTTCTGTTACTTAAAACACCAAAAGGCAAATATTTTAAGAATGACTCGATGGATGAATCAGATATAGATGCAGATTGTCCCAATGACGAAGCACTGTCCGATGATTGTGATCACTGGTTATGGAAAGATCAAGATGGAAACTGGAATCATTATCCCAGGAAAATTAATGATAAAATTATGAAATGTTACAAAAGAAATCCTAAGTCCACAGTTGTGATCTCACTTAAAGGACATTTGTAAGATGAAAATTTATAGTTGAACAAATAATAAAGTATTGACTTTTTGATTCATTAATCTAATTGAACTTCACTATCAAGACTATATTTACAAAAACAATGGACTCTGGATAATTTGATCCAGCGTTCATTGAATGATTTCTTTAAAGATTTAAACAGAAAATTAATCAAAAATATTCTCTTTTTTTGCAGATACAGAGTGCTTTTAGAGAGGAAAGTATAACGAACAAGATTCAGTTTCACTTTCTCTTGTAATTTACAGCTTCAATGGAAAGGAAAAAACTGATGAAATTAAAATTAATTTAAAATCATGAAATAATATTCAATTTATATATTAATTTTTTTTTTGGTTATAATGCTTAATGACAATATATTTCTGGAATTGAAGAAACGTATTGTAGGCACCTTTCATTTACTAGATCTTGACTTTAATTAAGTTGACAAATCTATCTTGTGATAAAAACTATAATTTTAATAACTGCAATGACATTTTAAGGGCAAAAATAAGAAAAGTAAAATATTGTACTTTATTTAAATGTATGTAAATCAAAACTGTCGTGTGTACATTTTTTGTGTAAAGACTATAATTAAATGAGTGCATTCCTTTTCATAATTATTTGACATTTGATGTTTGATTAAAAAAATAATAAATACAGTCATTTAATAATCAAAAATAATAATTTTTTAAAATTTGTGTACGTGCAAAAAGGTCAAGAATATTAGCATCGGTAAATATCCTATCTTTCATTAGTTAGAGGCGAAAGGTATATATTTTTATCACTTTTTGTAATCATTTGGGCATGTTCTTCATCATATTAAAGATTGAAGATTACAGATTAAAATTAAATATTAAAGATTGTGACAAAGACTTCTGAAAAATATTTACAAGTGTAGGGTGGAAAATTTACTAAAAAGATGAAGTTCATTTCCCAATTTTTTTTGTTAAATGTGGACTTATTTTTTATGTCAATTGAATAAAAGAAAAATTATTCTTGAGAAATATTGCTTAATATTTTTCAGTTAATAAGTCTATAAACGACAATATTTGAAGAGGTATTTTTGTGTGCCTAAAAATAACATTACAATACAAAGTTTCACAGGGTGTACTAGATTTTAAAACAAGGAAACATATATTAAGCTTTTAACTGATTGATAAGCAAGTACTAATTTATCAATTTGAAAAGTTTGAAAATCTTGTGACAAAGACTTTTCCGACGTAGGTTCTACCTTAAAGGATAAGAAAAATATTGTACTTGATTAACATATTAAACTAAAAGTGTTTGCAGTGTAAAGACAGTGTAAAACGACATTTGAGATTGAAAGAAGATCAATATATTCAACATACATGTGTTTAAATAATTTTTAATTTTCTGTTATTGAAATGCTCTCTAGATAATTTTTCTCCCAAAGAGCCACCACATACCAAACAAAACGCTGTATCAGGGTTATTAAGCAGTGATGATAAACCACTGTAAACGGTTTTAATATTTGCCTGTAGATTGACAGATATGATACTTACTCTGTTTTGGAAATAAAAGGGTTGAAAAGTTTAAACGAACACTGATAAAACTGATAAATATTGTAAAGAATATGAGTAAGGGTAATTAATGACAAAAACATAGTCCTGGTGAAATCTAACAGTTTAAATGGAGAAAATATTGTCAAAATTACAAAGAACAAAATTAGATGAAATAAATATGAGATTGTCCTCGTTCAGTGAATTCCCATTTCATCACCACATGTTAAATTAAGCGACACTAAGCACTGATTATGCATAGACAAAATTTCCAAACAAGCTTTGTTGAGCAGGTGTAAACACTTCCGCATATCATAGCATTTTGATGTGTCCAGTTATGCGATAAAATAAGTACTGAGTATGTGAAAATATTTTTCACAAGTTTCTGCATTTTCTAGGGAATACAAATTGATGTGGTAGTATTTGCAAACAAGGGGCGTTATTTACAGCATAATTAATGAAACTACACAACAGCTTTTTTTGCAACTGCAAATGCAAATTTTAGAATAAGTACAAACAAGACATTATTTTAAGCATTCAACAGTCAATAAAAAGTAACATCTCATTTTGCAAATTAACATCTGTATAGCCGATCATATGCATAAACAAGTAATTTTATCCGTTTATTATAAGTGTCCTTTAATGATAAATAATGATATATTCATGAAAATCTGATTTTATGGGAGAAGTGTATAATTATACATATATAATAAGCAATATCCTGCAATTTTACCGAACACATTTATCCAACATTGATGTAATAGGAGGAAATAAAAAATAAGGAAGAACATTGTCAAAAATAGTCAAATGATGCTTTCTCAATTATTTTAGGTCTAAGAAGAGTTCAGATTAAAAAGGGGTAAATAATGTTATCGAAATTTGATTTTCTTTTTTTAAATTTCATTTGTTAGGTTTTTATTTTAATTATGATTAGCAGTTGTCTTGTATAAAACAAATTGATAAGATAATTTTTTCTAACATTCTAAAAAGGACTTACATATTATGTAACTGAATGGAGTTTGGATTCAAAAAAGCACAGGAAGCATGGCTTGCACAAGCAAGTGTGGATGCAGAGAAAAGTAAGTTTATAAATATCATTATTTTTTTTAAATTTGTTTTCAATGATTTTATATCCATTTTGTCCAATGAAATACAAATGCGTTTTGTAATTAATAAGCTCTATCTGTGCAAAAAGATAAAGTTAGAAATGCAATTTTGTATTTGTTTATAAATAAGCTTTAATAGATACATTTATAAGATAAACATTAAAAGAAAGTATTTCAGTCAAAACAAGTTCCCTTACTTATATACATTAGTTTGCCTTTAAAGGTCGGAAGGGAGAAATTTCAGTTAACCCTTCTAGTGCATCACAAATAAACTCAAGAATATCATTTGACGTCAAACAACATACAATTAATCAATCAATCAAAATACCTGTAATTTTTAATCTTTAAACAATAAAGATCATTTATGCATTTTTTGGTTAAAAATATAATCTGTTATAACTGTTTTTCACATTCAACGCAATATTACATGTACAGTTGACATCCTTAATGACTTTTTCATGGGGTATACCTTTTAGGCAATCTAAAACGAATAGTCCAATCAAAATCTAACTTTATTTGACTACATGTATAGCTATTTTTGTACTGTCATTTAAGATTGTGCTTCACGATATCAGCAAGGAAGGGGGCCATGTAATGTCTTCATCCTGGATACCTCTTCTAGCATAGGCGAGGAAGGATTTAGTCAAATGAAGAGCATATTTAGTCAAATCCTTGACGGTATGAAATTAATTTTTTTATATTTCTGAGCGCTCATTTCATTTGCATGTCTGATTTATGAAAAAAGTCTTCTCTATAAATGAGCCCGGCTCTCTGTACTCCTTAATAAATGGATTGAATCTGTGTATTTGTTTTGTTCTAGAATATGCAAACCATCTCGATATCGACGAGAATGTGGCTGTCATCTCTTGTGGACGAAACACAAGATATCATTATTACTATTCTAATAGATACATGGATATCAAACGTTCTTTAGGTATTTAGTAGACCCTTAGATAAAACATATTTTTTAAAGTTTTTTTATTTTCTTACCTCTGTGAAAAGTCTTTTTCTTTTCTTACATAATTTCTTTGAAAACAGCCATTCACAGGCAGTTGACCATTTTTTTCTTAAGAAAAACAAACCGTATAATACACGAGAGGGATTTATGAGTTACGGGGTTATCTTTTTATAAAAATATGTACCGTCAATTGCCTATAGCATATTTCTAACAAATGTTGATAATCAAAATCTTTAAGTGAACATGCTGACATGAATTAATGATACATGGGAATTTTGATGTAGCTTTTCTTTTATCACATGACTGATAAATTAGAATAATATTCATTCTTAGATGGATTAGAATTTGGAGGATTGTCCCCTCTTGTCGCTGCATTTTTCTTGTCGTTTGGGGCCACGAAAAATGGTGCAGGTAAATTTTGTTGATGTTTATTTGTTTTCGATAATCACAGTATCGAAAATACTGAGAATAGTAAGCATTTTCATAGCAATACAATGTTTCTCCTTGTGCTTATTTTAAGAATATGTTTATAAAAAGTATAATTTCATATACCGTATATCAACATCCAACTTTGTTTACTTCTGAAATCAGAAATATAAATTGAATTTTTTATTCACTTAGCTAATAGGAAAAAGTATTTAGATAACGAATAGTACTGTATTTAACTCAAAAGTTCATTAAACAATTTCAAATTGGAGAAGAGCAAACATGGACCTTCATGATATCAGAGGTGGGTTACCAATTGACGAAGCTAGGTGAACATACCCGTAAGAAGTAACTCAAGCTTAAAGGCTTAAACAATTGTTATTAATATAATCAATGGGACTTTGAAATAGTGAAAATTTGATTCACGTAAATTTAATATACTTAGTTCTGATTCGCGGAAAAAACATGACGCGGAAAAAACCTGATATACGGTAATATAATTTGGAAAGTGCTGAGGGTTTACTATTTTAGGAAACCGAATTCATAAGTACAGTGAAGATTATAGTCGTTAATGGTTTCCAAAATAGAACTTCATACATTATTATCAAAACATAAAAACTATGAACTTTGTTAACTTTTCTTCAAAAACCAGGAACATGAATCATTTCTGTATTACTGCTAGAGTTTGACACGGGAAAACACAACAAAATGTTAAAGAATTGGTATGGTCATTTATTTAACCAATAAATTACAAAGTTTTGCTAAGAAAAAAACATAAAACAGTTAAAAATACAACATAATTTTACTTCTTAAATCAGGAACATGAATTGAATTATCCATCCACTTACCACTGTATGAAAATAAAGATGTGTATTCAACTCAAAAGTTCATTAAACATTATCAAATTGGAGCATAGCAAACAAGGACCTCTATAACATCACAGGTGGGTTCAGTTGCCATGGAGGAGTGAGCTTCTGCTGACCGGTCACACCCATCGTGTGCTCCCTGACATGATCGGGAAATACTAGTAGCGGAAAAATCCGTCGACATTCTCTGTGTAAATTATGACTTAACTATTAGTATGAAAAATGTCATCCACCGATTATTCTAAGATAAATTGTATTTGCAGACATGGGTCATTTTATTGACTTTAAAACTTACGAAATAATAACTTTAAATAAGGCTGCTGATATTCCTGTTTCATCAACTTGTTTGTCAAGAATAATTTACCTTCACTTTAGATATTATACTAGCTCAGAGTATGTTCTTTCGTATGGAATCAACTGAGAAATATAAACCCCTTACACAGGAGTTGAAGGTGCTGCATATGAAAGAGAAGTTGTATCTTTTATTTCAAGCTCTCGGGTGGGTAATTGTTTCGACATACGATATATGAAACCCCTTTTTCACAAGCACCGGGTCTCATGTGAAAATACTATCTTGTATACTGTATGTATAATTTTTTTCCAAATATTTTATAACTTATACAGCGGAAACTAGGTTTACAGAAGTATTTGAGTATGACCTTGTTTTTTTCTGAAAGTAGCATTTTTGAATCAATTATATATATTTGACTCATTGAAAATATTTCTTTCAGGTCATACGGCAAGAATTGGTAATTTTCACGTACGCCCAAGAATCATTTTATTTTCGGACGGAAGGCCTACAGATTTTACATGTATGAATGATGAAGATGATTCATTTATCTACGAGCGAAATGAGGTAAAATGTAAAATTTGTAAAAGACATGTAAAATAGTTCTGTTTAAAATACCTAGTATTCAGAGTATTCTAAACTTTGTAAAAATACGTTGTATTACAGGAGAAAGGTAACTTGCACCAGCTAACCAAAGACGTTGGAAGAGTTCATCCAATATTTTGTATACCTGTTGGAAATAAACCAGATTTGGTATTTATTCAAAATTTTACCTATAATATGTGAAATTGATATAATAATTTTAATTTAAGGGCTTTCAAAAGTAGTGTTTTATAAATTGTATAAAATTGTTAAATAGCATTTGCAGTAAGAGTTCTAAAACCAAACTGAACATCTACATCTGTAGCTGTACGTATTTGACGTTGAAATTCACCTTTTTCGTAAGAAGTGTATTACTTGATCTTTTATGGATCATCATATTAATTCAAAGAATTGGGTGATCTTATCAGATTAAAGCATAAACGAATCAGATTATAGTCATATGCCCGATATTAACGATGCCAAGGAGTAAACATAAGATAGATAATTTTACATACTAAAAACTTGAAAAAAGCATCAGGTTTAAAACGATAAAGGACTTGCATACATTATTCATTTGAAGCATATATAAGATAAATAATTTTACATACTAAAAACTTTATTTGAAAAAAAGCATCAGGTTTAAAACAATAAAGGACTTGCATAGATTATTCATTTGAAGCATTGTTACAGTCCTTTTTAGAGTTTATATCTGCTTGTTCAAAAGGAGGAAAAGTCATTTATCCCCATGAGGCTGGACAACTCGGAAAATATACCAAGAATATGGTAATAATTTTCTATCTTTAAAATGAAATTTCAATTAAATTTTTCGCGACATTGCAGAAATAAATATCCCTCGTAAGCTTGATTAACTGCATTAATGAATAAGGAAATACATCATTCTATTGGTCATCAATTAAAGGATTTAAAGTACGTATTCTATGTTCTTTCTTTGGTTGATGTGTCTATATTTCCTATGGAATCATTTATACAAAAATCTATTTAAAATCTGGTCTTAACTAGTTTATTGATTGCAATGATAACGCTGTGTTCATAAGAAGTAAATGAAATAGTGTATACATTTTTATCTTAATTTGAAACTCGATTTTCAGAGAACTGCGGCATTAATATCAACATCTTTGAAGGATGGAGATGAGGATAGAGAAACTATACTCACTCTCTTGACTTCCTCTTCACCAGACATGATGTTATCTGAACTGGATAAGGTAACTGGAAATAAGATTACCGACGACCCAAATGGGCCCAATTGGAACCCAAAATGGACCCAAATGGAAAATCAAATGGACCCAAATGGAATATGATATATATTATATTATCGTATTCTATAGTTGCTACTTATTAATTAAAATAATGAACTTTACAAAAGGGGATATTTTGATATTATTTTTTTTCTTAAATTGTATTTTAAAAATACGATTTTTTTTCTATTTGTAATAAATTTTGCACATAATTGAATACAAAACTGAAGTATATAGTTTTCTTGGTCGTAGGAACGGAGTAGTTGTGTTGTGTTGGGGGGGGGGGGGTCAAGAGGCCATGTCTCCCCCTTAATTTTGCTGATATATCTATAGCATACTATCGAAAATAATTCATGTCTCAAAATGCAATATTAGAAATCAATAATTATTTGAAAACAACACTCGTAACTGTAAGTTCATTTTTTTTTTTATTATTATTATTTTAAATTAGTAATATTCCATTTGGGCCCATTTCTGTTTCCATTGGGTTCATTTGGGTTCCATTTTAGTCCATTTGGGTTAATCGACGTGCTGTCGAGGAAGTCTTGAAATCAATATCAATAATAATTCTTATCCAAACCAAATAAAATATAACAGTTTAAACGATTCTTCATATCATGTGTTCAACCCGAATTTGTATTTTTAAAAAAAATTGAAAGCAGAAACTTCATGCCTCTGCATGGGTGAAAAAATCTCGAATGGGACGTCAAACTTCATGTATACAATCAATCAATTAATCCGAAACATGGCTTCAATAATTTTATCTTTTGTACTGATTTGCAAATTTGAATGGTATGATTAAAAAAAATAAAGAATAATCTCTGATTTCCAGGACGATATAAAATATAACAGTTTAAAAGATTCTTCATATCATGTGTTCAAGCCGAATTGTTTTAAAATAAAACAACTTTGAAAGCAGAAACCGCATGCCTCTGCATGAGTGAAAAAATCTCTAATCGGACGTAAAGCAACATACAATCAATCAATTAATCAGAAACAATGCTTGAATAATTTTATCTTTGTATAGAATTGCAAATTTAAAAGATATGATTAAAAGATTACAGAATAATCTATGGTTTCCAGGAGGATATCGTAGATATTTGCAAGAAAAGGTCTGCCTTCGTCTCAGTAGAGGAGATCGTCGCTGAGATTGAAGAAGATGAAAATGAAGATGCTTTTTATCACGAGAGAAATCCCCTTTTACCTTGTCTGGGTACAAGGGTTAAAAGAGGACCACATTGGCACTGGGGGAACCAAGATAGCAATGGTCCTGGCACAGTCATTGGGCATTCTTTGGATGGTAGCTATATATAGGAATCATAAATTTTATCGTTGGGGAAGAATCAAGCACATCCCTTTATGAAACCTTTATAAATTTAAACCAAAACGAGTTTTAATCATCTGCATGCCAAGCAGAAAACAATTACTCTTTGTGTTTTATTACATGAACATTCATTAAAAGATGTGCTTGTATGTGACTTTTTATTGAAGGTCGATTAATGGTTGAGTGGGATGCAGGTGAAAAGAATTACTATCATTATGATGTTGCTAGAAATGTATATGATGTCATTGTCTGCACTGAACTTAGGATCCTTGATACTGAACTAATTGCACCCGGATGTTTAGTCACCAGAGGTAAAGCAATATGAATTCAAAAAGTACACCCTTTACAGTGTTTCCGATTTCCAAAAACTGTGTCATATATTTCCTGTTCAAGATGTTTTAACAATTATAGGAAAAAATGCATTATGGTACATGCATATAGTCAACTCAGTATGGTGTTCACTATCGCATCATCGCTCCATCGAGGCTTGGGTCGATAGTACGATAATGCGATAATGCGATGACGATGAAGCTATGGTTGGATAGCGATGAGGCGTTGGAGCGATAGCGCGATTACGATGATGCGATGGCGCGACAATGCGATGATAATGCGATAGTTCTATGAGGCGATGACGCGATGGTGCGATAGCGATGACACGATAGTGCGATGAATATTTTGATATGGTGCGATTACGGTGAAGCGATATATACTTTCGCTCCATAGTGCTATCGCACCATCGTGATCGCATTATTGCGCCATAGCATCATCGCCATCGCACCACCGCTACATCGTTATTGCGCAATTGACCTTTATGTCGATGCTCAATGGTTTGATTGTGAACTGCATGTCCCTATCCAGATTCCATAACTCCCACTCTTACCGCTGTCAGTGCCCACTCTTACCGCTTATAAGGAAAGCCATGCCTTATTTGCAACTTCTCTGGGCATAATAAAATTTTCATGACTTTTGAATAATCATTTATAACTACATTGTTGCCTTGGGCTTTTCTACTTGAAGGTTTCGATCAGATTGAAATTTTAGATTTCTCATAAATAGTATGCCTTCCTTTGTAATTTTTAAAATATTTTAAGGAAGTTTGGACGGCTCTTTTCACAGAATCGAAATTAACATGAATCTTTAATATAAAGTGATATTTTGCATTTTTTTTCCTGTCAGTATAATCAATTATCAAATCATGGCCTTGTCATTTCATGATTAATATTGCCTGTCCATTTTTAATCTCTAACTCCTTTTATTCGAATAAACAAAATTCTTTCACAGAATTTTCGTTACATTATGTCATTTTGCACATTCTCATATGTTTCGGTTTGACTGATATTTGGGGATTCTCTATAAAGTTGGTATTTTTAAAGTTAACGCAATTTTATTCTATACCCCTGAATGAAATCAACGAATTTTTACAGCCAAGAAATGCATTTTCGCATCATTTTTCTCACATTGGAGCTTATATTGGAGCTACATAAAAATATATGTATGAAATATTGTTAACTCGGCGTTAAACAATATCAATCAATCAAACCATGTTGGAGCTGGGGTAGTAGTTGTGAACTAACTGCTTACAGAACCTTTATCAATAATCAAAAAAAAAAAAATTAAAAAACAAATATATATATAGTAGAATCTAAATTTATCAATACTGCTGTATGGCTGGCCATTTAATAGTATTTGAATTATTTTGTACTTATAACTAAAGTTTGTAAAGAAGTTTTGTACATAGTTGACTGATACACTTCTGTTCTTTACGTAAGGTTTTTTTAGTATCATGAAATTGTTCTTCTTCCTAGGTCCTGACTGGGAATGGGGAGATCAAGATGGCGGTGAGGGTAGTATTGGATCCGTTTACAGAGTCAGAAAATCAGGAAGGGTTTATGTGAGTCTATCTCTATATCGACAAAAATTCCACTTTACTCTGAAACCAAAGTTCAAAACAAAACAGAATGTTGTCTTCGTTCTTTAAAAGGTGCGATGGCCAAACGGCGAAAAAGGCGACTACAGATTTGGTCACCTCGGGAAGTTTGATCTAAATATTTCGTAAGAATTTTTTTTCAGAAAATGTTAAGTTTAAAATGGATCTCTTATGATATGTGGAAGTACACATAAAACATGTTTTGTAATTTGTTCCTTGCATATTGAAGTTAATTGTCCAGAAAGCATAGTACAGAAAGTATTGTTTATTCATTTACCAAACTTTGACTGACTGATTTTGATTTCATATTTTCATAGTGACTCTTTTTCATCAGATGGAATTCAACCGCATGAATTACAAATGACAACTGCCGCTTCTGATAACCATCCAACCGAACCAAAAAGTAAAATCAAATATATAATAGGCCTAATTAGTATTGATTTAATTATTTAAATACACAATTATCTTTTACAAATAAATTTTTCAGGTTTTCTAAAAATGGGAAAGAATAGTGACAGACCAAGCTTTGAGGACAGCTTAACTTCTTCATTTCATTTAAAGACTATCAAAGGTCATTATTTTAAAAATGACAAAGTTCCTGATTCTCTGTCAGACTTAGAGGTGGACGGATTAAATGAGACAGCCGTATTAACTGACCAATGGATGTGGAGAGAATTCAGCGGAAAATGGATTCCGTATCCAAGGAAAATAAATCAAAGAATTAATGAATGTTTTAAAAGACAGTCAAAGTCAACTGTAATTGTTTCCTTAAATGGAACAAAGTAAGACTGTTCAGATCAGTTCATCATTTGTAAACGTAAAGAAAGTATTCAGAAAAAAATTTCAATTCTAAATGTGATTCACTTAGCATTCAACATTTTAGTCGTCTTGACAATTGTTTTTTTTTTATATAACAAACAATAATATATGCATAATAAAATTTGTATGTATATTCCTTTTAGTTTCAGGGTGGTTATGGCCAAGAGAATTCAAATCAACCTTGAGAACAGAGAAACGACAGACATTAAATTAATAAAGAATGAATAACGAAGTCACTTTCTTATGTTTGTTTGCTTAAAAGGTTTTTCTGAAAATAAAATAATAACATCCGTCTTGTCAAGAAATTGACAACAAAGACAAGGAATAGCAAACACTAAAAATAAGGGGAAAATTTTGAAAAGGAAAATGAACTTTCTAGCAGCAGATTTTTAAAACTTTATTGCAGTGACCTTCATGATGAAAACTTAAAGTATTAAAGACAGACAGGGCATTACATTATCATACTGTTTGAATAGCTTAATACAAGTCTATGAAATCGAAAGAGTTGACTCAATACTGAATGGGTTAAAGAACAAAATCTTTAAAAACAAACGAGTCTTAAGGTAGGACAAAACACCCTTGGATTCTATTTTAACTCATCTCTGAAAAAGTACTGGCCAGGAGAAAAAAGAATAATATAACTATATTGACATCAATGAATGATCCCAGTAAGAAAAATTATATCTTTTGGCATGTTTGCGTCATGATTTCTGAGAAAATCAGAGTATCCAATATATTGATCACTTGGGAGCTTACATTTTGGAATGTGTTTAAGCTATCTAGGTTAAAAAAAACAAATATGCAAGAGTCTGTTATAAAATTCAGTGTAACTTTTGTTCAGTAAATAGTAGAGGGCTGATATTTGGTTACAAGTTTAAGGAGTTTCCATTCTTGATGTACATGTACTACAAAGGTCAAGGTCATATCAAGAGGTCAAAGGCCAAATATTGTGAAGTCATCTGCTGAACCTTTTAGTTTTTTTAGTTTTAGTTTTTTATTGCCATTGAAATCTTTTTTAATCGCCAAAATATCTGAAACCACTTGTTCAATTTTCTTTATTTTTATACACTTTATTCTAGGACCCATTTAAATTATTCTCTTAATTTTTTTTTTATAAAAATTGAATTATGCATTTTCTCTTAAGAAAACTTAATCTGTCGGATATTTACATGTGAATTTTCAATTCGGACGCTATGTATATGTTACATTTTTACTTAATGTTTTACTCAAATTTTCCAATATGACTTACTGATTTAAAGTAACAAAAAAGGTTATCTTTATTACACAAAATTGCAATAGATCAATTAATAATTCTAAAATAAGGTTCATTTTCAAGTCGAATGTATGATTTCACACTCTTCTTATAGGGGTCTGATAGGCCATATTCAGACTATATGGGCTAAAAATGTGTGGTTGAATTTCTATAATTTCATGTATAAAGAGAGATTTTGTATCCTAGAACAAAATATCAAAGTTTCAGAAAAATTGAATTTGAGGAAAAAATTGGCCTATCTATTGTGTCCTACCTTAAGCTTTACAAATAAAAACAAAAGACAATAACAAATATATATATATTCCTAATCTTTCAAAAATGTTATACATACAAATACATAAACAAAAAAATATAAAATATAAGCTTACATAATACCGATTGGTCTAAGCACTTTAAAGTTTGAAAATGAAGTACTGAAGTACTGGAGTACATGCCATATCGGTTTTGCCAAAAGTACACAGAAGAAGGTGCCATTGGTAGTCAACAAATATTCACGTCGCCTCTACGGTAAATCAGGACAAATACATGTACTTTCAGAACTTTAACTTTTACAATAAATTGTCAAATTTAACAACCTTAATTATTAACAAGTTTACACAATTTCTTTCAAATATGGCACATATAGTTTTCAAAAGATTTTGCAAACGGGCACAACATATGTAATGAAAACAAAATACATCAGAAAAAGGAGGCTTCACATTCATATCATTCATTTGTGATATCTTAATGAAGGAATGTCTTGATTCCTTGAAATCCAAAGAGCAAGTAAATAATAGAAAAAGTATCAAGATTTATGAAGGTCGTACATGTACCTAGGTACATACATGTAACTTACACCTTCTTGGAAAATGCAGTTAGCGGAAAAAGACTAAGGTTCAAATATGATTGAATATAATCAAGAGAAATAACCAATAGAAAAACCCAGATCCCAAGATGCATTCAACCTTTCTAAATATTTGGGGGAGGAAATGATTCATAGAGGACATATCTGATCAATACTTCTGAACTTCATATAATTTTTTTCTGAATATGTAGTTGAAATTGTACGTTTTCCATTCTACTTCACTTTCTGTATTTGGAATTTCCCTTGATCCTGGTCAGTGATAACCAAAACATATTTTAAACATATAATACAGCTGCGAGCTGACTTTTTTCAAGCATATATAACACGTTATTTCATTTTATACAAACAATACATCATTTCGTATGCACAAAAAGGGAGCAAAGGTAATTCTTTGCTAGAAACAATAAAGCATTATGAATCCTCTAGACACATTTTTTCAATTTGACAATGTACAAAACGAAGTGACTTCTCAGACCGATTCTTTAATTTTATGTTATTGGGCTAGGTTTTCATTAGTTGTATAACACTGTTAATTGTATGGCTTATAATTATAAATATTCCAAATAAATCTCTGAAGCAATATTAAAAAGCAGGAAGATAATTCACACAAACGAGCGACAGGGAAATAATTCTTGCAATTAAATAGAAATGTTATGTAAACAGAGAGGATGTCATTTCTGTAAGTGTGAATTTTAAAATACAATTATATTGCTGCATTATAAATTCTAAGTATTGTATACTTAGTAGTTTGAAACATAATGCATGAACACAATATATTAAAATAAAAGAATGTTTTCTCTGATTGTTCTAGTGATTATGTAGAGTCTCTGGATTGTGCCTTGCAGAACGCTAAAGAACATTGGTTTCAACAGGCCGAGTCAGAGGCGACGAAAAATAAATTTTATCATTTTTAATTCAATGCTATATGAATACTTATAATCGTGTTTCTGAATGTTTATTCACTTTTAATTTTAAATTTTACTTTTCTCAATTTAATACGTAATACGTATACATTTGTCAGCAGCACTGCACATAGCTCGGTACCATTTTATAACTATAATCGATAAATCTAACTTCTAACATAACTTGACATAATTAGCATCTTTATGACTATTTTTTAGATAGTGAACGAAGACATAATCAAGGAAGAGGACCATGCAATGTTTTTATATTAGATACATCGTCAAATATGGGACAAGATGGCCCTATACAGATGAAAGATACATTTTGTACTATCATGGATGGTAGTTTTACATTTCTGTCTCTAAATTTCTACCTAAAACCAAAACAAATATTCATTTCTTTGGAAAGGAAAACAAAAATGCTTTAAAAATATACAAGATTCATAGATTTATCTGACATAACCTCAGATCAAATTATGTGCCCGAATTATTTATATTTCAGAATATGCCAGATACTCTGAAATGGATGAAAATGTAGCTGTGGTGATATGTGGAAGGGCAACAACATTTATACACTACTATTCTAATAATTATGACCAGATAAAACATTGTATAGGTATGAACAGAAATACAAAGCCCAGGCAGTTGGCCTTTTTGCTTTCAAGGGAAAACAAAGAAATAAAATAATGGTGTCATTTACACATAACTTTACATTAAACACAGTGTTTAGAGACATTTTTTATCCTATATTTTGGCACATTTGTTCAAATGTGATTTTTCCGAGGAAGGAGTTTATAAATGTTCTTTTTTATTTTCCTTATATATATAAAAAGACCCGAAAAACTATAATAAAGATTATAAAAATTTGAGAAAACAGTGAATACTCTTGCTTTTTTCTCTCCAAATATACCTGGTAACTTTCATTCAATGGAAAACCTTAATTCTTTTTAGATGACGTTGAATATGGCGGACCGTGTCCCCTTACCGCGGCCTTTATCCTATCTTTAGGAGGTGTTCTTAAAAGAGCAGGTTAGTACTAGTTTATTTTGCACCTTTCAGATTATTACTTCGTATTAACAGATTCGTAGACCATTGATATCTATTTACTGATTTTAAGGACATACGAGGGTGATGGGAAGATTTTATGTGCATCCCCGGTTCATTGTAATTTCGGCTGGAAGGCCAACCGACTTCACCTTAGTGAACCATATGGAGGAAGTTGTGATTATAATTATTCTGTGCTTCTTTTCTTTTCCAAGTCATACAAATATGTGATGAATCATCCAACATTTGTTTTATCAAAACATTCTTGCGATATCTTCGTTTTGTATAGGAGGATATTTTTGAAATTTGTACAAAAATGTCCCTATTTAAACCAATGGATCAGAGTGAAGAAGAGTCTATCAACAGCAAAAAAGATATGAATTCACTCATAGAGTGGGACCCTCGTATGCCCCCGCTTGGCAGTAGAGTGAGAAGGAGTCCGGGCGGTCATTTGGGTACTATGGAGAGACATATCATTGGGACTGTGATTGAGCATTCTAAAGATGGTAAGTTCACAAAGTGTCCTGGGTTTTATCTTCATCCCTTAGAGTGATATTTAAATTTATAGTCAGTTTAAACATAGTGTGATGCAGATGTTTTGTACATATGTTTGCATACGCAAAAATACAATACATGTATAGGCAGTTCCACAAAGAAGTTTGATAATATTTCAATTCTTTGGATAATTTGTAAAATAAAAAATATTCTGCTTAAAGTCCTCTTAAATTATGTATGCTAAAGGTTTTTTTTCAAATTTAAACTTATATTTAAAAATTCTCACTACGTATTTAGCACTGTACATGATTACGATTGAATTTCTTCTTCAAATGTTACGATCTCAAGTTACCAAAAATCATTTTTTAATATGATTATGTCATGCAAAATATTGAATTAACTCAAGTTTAGCAATAATATTTGCATTTCTTTTCTTTTCTTTTATATGTGCCTTTTTTCCCATTATACATATTTTCTTAAGTATTTAGTAAATAGAGAATATTTCATATTAAGATATATATCATATTTCATATCTGCACGAATGGCCCCATATCAGCCCGAAGGATCAAGTTACTGTTATAATAATAATTATGTATGTATCTCTTGTACTCCTTGAAACCAATAGTTGGATGGTTGATTGTCCACTGGGATGGAGATTCTGTGGATAAGTGTAGATATGGATCATCCATTGAACAGGAATATAAATATGACGTCATCGTATGCGATGTACCTAGGATATTAGAGAATGAGCTTATAGCCACTGGGTGCTTGGTATATAGAGGTATGTGCTTTATTAACTGGTTTTAAAATGTTAAACATGTTTAAACAAATATATCTTTTATCTCAAGCTCACCAGAATATATCATATATGAATAAAAAAGGATATGCACATACAGTTATCATCTGAATGAGCATATTTCTGATGGAAAATAATAGAGACATAATTTACATAAAAAATGACTTTCAAATTTACGTATAAAATTCTTCTAAAAATATATGTAGGTCCGGACTGGAAATATGGTGATCAAGATGGCGGTCAAGGAAGTATACAGTGCAGGGAACTAATTTTGTTACATAAACCAGCATCAGGATCAGCATAAGTAGGATCAGGATAGAACTAGTATCAGCATCAGCATTTAAAAAAACAGCATTACTTGGATCAGCATCAGCAAGCAAAGGATAAAACTAGCATTGACCAAAATGAAAACAGATAAAGGAAAGTCATTTAATACAAATTACAAATAAAAATTACTCCAAAAATTATTTTTAATGGCTTAAAATAGCGATGCTGTTTTTGAATTATCCACTTCCGGCAGGATAATCCTACTTCCGGTAGCATTACTAGCATTGACCTTGTTTCAAACCAGCATCAGGATAAAGATCAAACCAGGATCAGGATAAGGATAACTAGCATCAAATTCAGCAAGCAAAGGAAGCATCAAAATCAGCAAGCATAGGAAGCACCAAAATCAGCATTGATGCTGTAACAAAATTATTTCCCTGCACTGTAGGTTCGGTGTATAAGGCATCCCCTAATGGAATTGTTGAGGTAAATCCATCTTGCTAATCATCGGCACCTAGGTTTTCCAGATCTATAGAACTATTACGCTTTTTTGTCAATATGAATTTAAAAAAAAATTCTTTTCAATTACAAAAAATAGGTTCGTTGGCAGAATGGTTCTAAAAATAACTATCGATTTGGATTTGGTGGTGAATTTGACCTTTCTATATAGTAATTATTTATATACATATAAAAATTGTATTATAATACAGGGTTTATATTTCTAAATTGATTCGATACGCAAGAGCATGCTCTACGTATGAAAAATTTACAAACAGAAGCAAGTTGTCGACAAACAAGATGTAAAAACAAGAATACCAACAGTCTTGTTTTAAGTCATCATTTCGTAAGATCATTTCGTAAGTTGTATCTTTCGGGGTCGATACAATGACCTTGTCAGCAACCACAGTTTATCATTAAATCAAATGCTGACATACATTATTCATACTTATTGTTTGGCCATGATTTACGCACTTAATGTTTCCGTTTCTTCTCAATCAAGACAAGGAGCACATGGCAGGTGTAAGCACTGCTCACTCCTCCATGGTACCCGATCTCACCTTTGATGTTTTGGAATGTGTGTTTACTCTGTTCCCATTTTGTATTGTTTAATGGACTTTTCAGCTTGAATACTCTTCGTAATCTCCAAATAGTTTATTGAGCCAAATTGTATACGTATTTATATTTTTTCGATATAGAGAGATTTTGTACATGTATCTACACGTAGATTTGGAGTATTATGTAAATTGCCTCTATCTAATTTGATAAGCTAAATAGCCAATTTAGGGTCGATTATAAATAAATTAATAATCATGTAAATGTAAACGAACATTTAGCAGTTTATTACAAGATTGACTATAATATCTTGATGTTATCCGTGTTTAAGACACATTTGCCTTAAAATAAAAATATGATAATTTTACAATTTTTTAGCGAGCCTTTCTCAGCAGACGCAAACAGATTTTTAGAGGATCAACAAAGATGCGCTTCCTCAAAACTGCCAGAGACTATGCAAAATATTTATACTGAAATTCCAACAGGTATATTGAAACCAAATTCAGTTATTATTTATACTTCTTTACTCCTACCCAAAAAGTTATCGAATGCAAATGATGTACCATTTATGCAGTTTGATATATTATTTTAGCAGATACTCAAAGATCAGGGAAAGAGATATTAAAAATTGAAAGTGAAACTAATGTGGAAACGTTTCTTAAAACTTCAAAAGGGACATATTTCAAAAATGACAGGGTTGAAACTGACGATGAATCAGATTTGGACCTAGATTATTCTGACGTCACAGTCCCATCTCTTTATTGTGATCACTGGTTATGGAAGGATAACAATGGCATATGGAATCATTATTCAAGGAGAATAAATGAAAAATTGATGAAGAATTTTAAGAGAAACCCAACCTCAACCGTTGTCATCACATTAAATGATGATTTTTATGTTCATCCTTATGATAGAATGTTTGCTTTGTATTACCTGTATTAGTTTTGGATAATAAATTTCCGTTCAGTTAAAGCTGAACACGACTCGTAAATAGGTATACGCCATTTTCGATATCATTATCTACGATACATCAACACACACAAGAGTATACTCTTCAGATTCGTATCACCTAACTGCTTTATTGTCACTGGTATCGGTGTAGATTGGCGACCCATGTTCGTGCTGGTTATCTTGCATTACCTTTGTTTACATTTATTGCAGTTACATGTATCTGTGTTTGTTTGTATACTGCACTGACCTGTATAACTCTACTTGTAAGTTTCTTTGGTGTCTTACTTTCCAGGATTAGACGAAGTAATTACTTTATTATTGTCGCTTCCGTGAGCTGTATAACATAATTCCGTCTACACCGATGTCGACTGATTACACTGAAAGGTGTTTAAGTCCTGTCCTTTATATAGGGGTCTGCAGATATAGCGAGAATCCGAACAAAAATGGCGGAAACATTTTTTTACGAATCGTTTTCAGCTTTAAAATATATTTTCAGATCTTACATATTTATATCTTCTTCGTCGTTTGTTTTATAGGTACAGAGTGGTTTTTGCAAAGAATATGCAGATTAACTTGATTACAAGGGAAAAAATGGAAGTAAAACTTGTGAAGAATGACGTTTGAAAGTTATGCATGCATTATTTGGTTGTCAAGAAATAAACACTAAAATTGCATTAAAATAAATAATAATAAAACGGAACAATTACAAAAGACTTGCATTATGATTTTTTTTAAATTTTCTGTGGATTAAGTCTTGTCGAACGGTGTAAAGATAATAACATGTATTCTGGTATCAAATGTTGAAATATACAATCATACAATCATACAAGCAGGATTTCTTTTAAAATATCAAATTCCAATCTTCAAAATACCGCAAGGTTATCGTAAACTATATTTCCTATACAGCTATATAAAGCATAAAGAAAGCTTTGTAAAAGCATATATTGATAATTTTATAAAACTATACACTCTCAGAAAGATTTAAAAGGAATATTATCTCATTTTGACATTTATATTTAATGTTCAAGAAATTTAACAACAGTTGATGAGAAAGGCATTCTTAACTTAGTTAACCGAAGAAACACAACAAAAAAAGAGGTGAACTACCTTACTCCATTATAAAGCATACATCTGGTCTTTATGCAAAACTGGTGCAAATGAAACCATATGCATGCCGATTCAGCTCAGTGGGCAATCCATGCTCATAATGGAGTCCTGAGTACATTATAAAGACTTGTGATAAATCAAGCTTGGATGTTATGTGTATATTTAATTGATCAAATTTAAATTATGTGTAATTAAATTGATATATACATAATTATATATTTCATACGATAGTTTAAATCGGATTAAAACTAAACATAACTTTAGTTATCAAAATAAGGAAGGTCTAACAAGTCTATCATTTCCACCCATCTTTAATTCGATCTACTTTCATTAAAGAAATTTGAAATCACAATGTCAAAATAATCAAACATGAATAAACAACTTCATTTCCTGTTTTATTACAGTAATACCGGGGGCATAATTTGATTTATATATGATACGTCGAAAAGAGAGTGACTACATTTTTTCTGTTCAAACACAATAGGAATGCAAATCTCCGAGCATCTGCTAGTAAATAATTTTAAACATGTCTCATGATTCAAATATGACCATAAATCATGACCCAGATAATAATTATTGACTTATTTTAGATCAGGGAAATTGTTGATTGCATTAAATCCTCGATAGCAAATCACGTTCTTTTCTAAAACTCCATTGAGGGTTGTTTTTTATTTATTTTTAATTTTGTTTATACTTACTGAGAGCTTTATGGACCACGGGAATGTCTTTGTTTGTTTGTAAGTTGTTTAGAATTTTTCACTCAGATATGCCGGCATTTCCTGCCAACACCTGCAGCGACACGGGACCTCGGTTTATAGAGTCTTAAGCTTATCCGAAGGACTGGTCTCCACGTCCCACTGTGGAATTCTGTGGATGAACGCCTTACTTCGCGAAGCTAAAGCAGACGCCCTAACCACTGCGCCACGCAGTTGACTTTAGATGTTTGTGAAATATCAAATACATATTTCATGAGTTTTTTCACCTGATGTACAAAGAATTTGTTTAAAATCAACAGTTTATATTTTATTGCAAACTAATACAAAGGTTGATTACATTGTTTGCCATCTCTTTTTCCATTGGTAGGTTTAAGAGTTTAAAAACCCAGCAACATTGTAGGAAGTCACCAATTAAAAGAGGAAGAGAAACATACGTGACTTTCTATCAGATACTAATGGAGAGACGTCATTGAGGTAGTTTAGTATGAAAGTATTCTAAAAAGAGTTTTGAAAAAGTAAATAAAGATAACATTTTATATTTTCTTTACAATAGATAAACTATACATGACTGTGTTATGCTTGAAAGGATGAACTTAGGCTTCGAGAGAGCATTAAAATACTGGAGGGAGCAAGGACTGATCGATGCTAAAATAAGTAAGTTCTTCCTTGTGATATTTTGGTTTTGGAACAAATTCGTTACTAAAGGATTTACTTAATAATGAAAGTATAGCTTTCAAAACAATGATATCTTCTTAAATTTCTCACCAGATATTTATAGAACTGTAACACAAACATTTCATCGTGTAATATTATATATTACATGTATATATATACTCATGTATACTTTGTATTCCTTGACAAATTAAAGTCAATTAATTATAATTTGCTTTTTTTTTAAGAAAAAAAGCAAAAGGAGATTCAAACCAGTCTTTGAGAATTTGTTGTCAAGGGTATTTTCTAAATTATTTTTTAAACTTTCTATTTGTCTCATAAGATTTGTAAAACCTGTAGCTACAATCGGGATCACTATACCCGTGTTTGCTCTCATCTCGATTTGTATTATTTCTATTGAGTTTTTGCACTTTACGAGGTATTTGTGTTAGTTTAGGTTATGTCTATATTTTATTTTATTTAAGTATAATTAAGAGACCGAATAACAGGAAAGATTTTTCCAAAAGTTATTTCAAAATTACTGAAGAGTTAAAACCACTTCATGTACTTCTATAGCACATAAGGATTTATGCCTTCTATGAGAAATATCAGCCTAATAGTGCAGTAAAACATAACCAAACACAGATATGCAGTTTCGTCAATTATGTCATTTAATTGAATGACATAAAGTAAAACGTAAAACAAATCATTAAGGGGGATCACCTTACATGAAACAATACAGGATACATGTACATAGCTGAAAGGTACAAGTGTTCCCTTTGAGACTGACTAGAAATTTACATGCAGTGAACATATCAGAGTACATGTCAATATGCATAAAATATTGTTTTATTTAAATTAATTGGACGATCTTTGCAAAATTAATGATATTTTTTTGCTTTAAAGAAACATCGGTGCACACGAGCAACACCTTTATTTTAAAAAATAGATTTAATTTGGGATATGAATTTAAAATAGACAAGTTTTAATTTAATTTTTTTTCTGATTAAGACCGTGAACTGAGACACCAACATGGTAAGGGACCATGCAATATCTTCATACTCGACACGCCATCAAGTCTTGGAGAGGAGGGATTCAATGAAATGAAGGACACGTTTCGTACAATTATAACAGGTGAGAGAGTTAAATGCTTGTACAATTGTGGAATCCTTTTGATTCCTGAGGTAATTTCATGAGCAAGCAGTTTTATTTGTTCGTGGGGACCTTTATAGGATAGATTCATTGAATTAATTGCTAATTAAATTTACCTTCTTAGGGCTGTATATTCTGGGTGAGACGACCAAAGAAATCCCCAAACATTGCTTCTCCCACTAAGATTGATGATTTCACATTATATGTTTTGCATATTTTGTTTCAGACCTACCAAAACATTTCTATGACGCTTTGCTTTTCTAGGGTATGAAAACCAACCAGAGGAAGATGAAAACGTTGCTGTTATTATATGTGGCAAAAACACTAGGTTCCAACGTTATTTCTCTAACCAGTATTCTGCTGTATCTAAATGTTTGGGTAAAACAATTAGTTCAGTCAATCATTTTAAAGCATATTTGTGTAACTGTTGGTTTATAGATACATGTAAATCTATACGATGTTGTGTTCTTTTTTCAATGCATTTGTTAATTACATGTCAATAAAAATAGAAATAAAAGTATTTTTATAAATAATTTGAAAATTTGCTTTAGTTTTATTGCTCATGTTTCTGTTGTTTTCTTTTTATCTGAGTAATTTTTTATTACAAAAATAAATAAGATCACTTGATTTGCCCTATATTAGATGATGTTGAATATGGCGGGCTATCTCCATTGATGGCGGCATTTATACTTTGCCTTGAATCAACTCATAATGGAGCAAGTAATGCTTTTATCATTTCTTAACATGACTCCCTTTCGCTTTTATCGGTTATTAGAAGTAGAAAGAAATGCATTCACATATAAAAAGAACGAATTAAATATTATCTACTAGTGGTAGCATTGTCTGTTATGAACTAGGCATTTGTGGTTAATTATGAATCGCACGAAATAGGTCTGCCGAAACGTAGTTTATGACAATGTTTCTCGGGAGATACTTTTTATCTATAAAGTTTTTTAGTGGGGATGAATTTGCTAATTTTTTTTCTTTTTTAGGTCATACGTCAAGGATGCAAGAGTTTCAAATTCGGCCCCGAGTTATTCTCATGTCTGATGGTCGACCGACTCCTTTTCAGATAATCAGTGAAGCAGACGACTCCGATCTTCAGGAAACTGAGGACGTAAATAGATATGACTGATAATCAGTTATTCACATTCAGTTACATCAATTATCATGTAGTACATATACTCAGCATTAATGAAAGACGGTTAATATTTTAGGCCAAAAACAACCTTCAACTGTTTGCTCGTCAAGTTGGAAGGCGTCATCCAATTTTTTGCATACCTTTGGGCAAGAATCCAGATATGGTAAAAGTATTCTTTTTTCCTTCTGAATTTAACCATTCTGATACTTTTTTTTAGACGTTAATGCAAACATTCGTTAATTTTAGCTGTTGTTAGAATTCATGTGTGCTGAGTCCAGAGGAGGAAAGATAGTTTTTCCTTATGAAGCCTTGCAATTTTCAAGATATTCAAAGAATGTGGTATTTATATCCATTACATGTTCATCTTGAAAATAAACTTTTTTAACATTGATTTTCAAACTCTTCAGTTTCGTTATAACAGTAACGTACCTAAATATGTGTATAACGTCTTTGTTTGGTAAAATGATTGTTTTATATAATTAGAAAATATAGATGTATAAGCTTTTATAAAAAAAAACTTTTCATCGGATTGATTTTACATTTATATATATAATTTAGTTTTCATTTTCGATCTGTTAATATGTTTCACTACTTTGAACAATATTTTTTGTGATTTCTTTTACCATATAATCCATTTTTCACACAGAGAACAGCGGCATTATTATCATCATTGTCACAGTATCATGTGACGGATAGGGATGCATTATCTTCAATTATTTCGATGACAATCCCTGGGAATAATTTCACCGAAATGGATAAGGTACAATTGATTTTTTTCACATACATGTAACATGTTCCAACTTAATTAATGCATGTACAGATTGTCTTGGAATTTTCAACAAGAAGTCTTCTTTCTCAACAAAAACAGTGTTATCAGTTTGGGAAAAACAGCAAAGCTAGAAAATGTATCATTACAAAATTTGATTTTTTATAATGCTGTTTTAATTAGCAAAAATTGAATAATTAATTTGTCGTCAAAGTTAAGTCATTCATCACAAAATTTTATTTTTTTTCTCCAGGACGATATATTTGAACTATGGACGAAGAAATCCTTATATACATCAGAACCGTCTGAAGAAGATGAGGACAGTGATGGCAGAGAAGGAGGAGACTTAGAGAAAAGGGATCCATGTATGCCAGATCTAGGAGTCAGGGTAAAACGAGGCCCGGATTGGCAGTGGAAAAATCAAGATAGTCATGGTCCTGGTACCGTTATAGGATATTCAAGAGGTAAATATTATTGCATTAAACAAATATGGCGTATTTAGCCACGTTGCGCATCAACTGTCGTAGTGAAACACTTCGTGGTATATTGTATGTTTGTTTTTTTTTAATGTCATTTGCACAACCATTCCCCACGATAAATTTAAGTTCAGGCTTTTGTCATATCATTGACAGCTGTTTTTCCTACACAAATAGAGCTCGGAAATTTACTTACCTTGTCACTGGTACAATGTAATTTGCAAAATTACTGTATTTTGTTTAAAAAACATTCTAATTGTACACAAAAGTACTCTTAAGTTGACATTAAAAAGATGCTTGAGTTTCAAAGGAATGGCAGTGTACATGTGTTGAATAAAAATGTAAAATAGGAGGTACGCAATATTCAAATTCCTTTTTATGATCTAATTATTCATTTATATAAATATACTTATAAATGTATCGTTAGAGTGCTTGATTTGCTCCTTGCATTTATATTATATGTGCTATTGTATACAAAATGGTTAAATTAGTTTGTTTATTACAGAGGGTTGGTTGAGAGTAGAATGGGACGTAGGAGGAAAGAATGTTTACAGATACGGGCCAAGGCATGACATGAAAAATGTGTATGACGTCATACCGTGCAATATTCCTAGAGTTCTTGAAGAAAACGAACCGATTGGAACAGGTTGTCTAGTTAAAAGAGGTAATTTTATGTTTTACATGCATAATTGAATTTTTTCATGCTTTGCGTCATTATTTCGTGTCATTTTCAAATATAATACTTATTTTTCAACGCTTTGCAATAGGTCCAGACTGGGAGTGGGATAATCAAGATGGCGGAGAAGGAAACATTGGATCAGTTATAAGAGTCAGAAGTAATGCAACAGTCAATGTACGTTTAAAATAAAATTTGCTAACGTTTGTTTGTTGGTTTAAAAAGAAGACCAACTTTCATATTAAGTGATTTTCTATGTCTTCTGTTTCAGGTCAAGTGGTCAAATGGAAGTGTTTCTAATTATAGATTTGGTTATAAAGAGAAATTTGATCTACAGATATGGTAAATAAATTGAAATCCATTTTTGAAAAGAGAATATTTTTTCATTACAATATAATGTTACTTATCAAGAAATAAAATAATTCGATTTTTTTTCGGAAAAAAAGTTATTCATGGTCATTATTTTAATGTTACCACACTCTTGACGACACATATTTTTAGTGATCCATTTTCACAAGAGACTGAGAAATATTTACAAGAGGAAAGCAAATCATCGCAGCCAAAAACACAGAAAGAAAAAATATACAATTTCAGTAACAATCTTTTTTCTATTTTTTTTTCAATGAGGAACATCTTTAAAGTTACTTTAACAACATACAATAATAGATTTCAAATATTCTGTTTAAATATAAAGTAATCGACCTATTTGTTTTTTATTTCAATCTTGTCAGAAGATTCTAGTTCATACGAAGGCTCAAAATCAACATCATTTGAATGCAGCCAATCGGATAGAAATCACTTATCAAGTCTTTCTTCAAATTCCTTAAAATACCCTAAAGGAAAATATTTCAAAAATGACAGTGTAGAGGATGAATGCTCTACAGATTTAGAATCAGATGGACCAATAGCATTAAGCCAGTGGATGTGGAAAGATAAGACTGAGAAATGGAATCCATATCCGAAAAAAATAAATGACAAAATATGGAAATCATGGAAAAGAAATCCGAATTCTACCGTAGTTGTTGAAATGGATGACAGCGTGTAAGTATTTCAAAGCTTTATTTATGATTTAAAAATTACTTTATGATATCGCAGAGAGAGAGAATCCAAATTCCAATGTTGTAATGAAAAAATACAGTTTCAAGTCAGTGTTCCGACATATTTCATTTAAAAATATATTCTTTATAATAATAATTTTAGAGAAATAATGTCTTCTAGCCTTCTCATAGGCAAGCTTGTATAATTTACATTTTTGTGAGTTTACAAATTAATTTTTTTACGTAGTTACAGAGTTGTGTTGGGAAAGAATATACAGATAAATTTGACAACCGGAGAAACAATGGACATCCAAGTTTTTGAAAATTCCTAAAAGAATTCATGCATCGCATGTAAACATATTATAATACAAGTAACAGCTTTTTAAAAAGCTTGCCTGACTAAATCAATCAATTTATCTGCATGCAGAGTGATAAACCTTTTGAGCAATAATACTTTTGTGACTTTAAAACATACCCTAATTTTATATTTAATTTGAGAGCCTTGTGTAATTGAAATCTTGATTTTATTTAACTTGTTGAAGAATCATCTCTACACTGCATATAAAGAGTTGTTATTCATGGGGGGGGGGTTAAAGCTAGATTGAATGACCTGCCCTTGGATGTAAAAACTAAATTTCAAGTTATTTATTACTACATACATGTACATAATAAAATCTGTTATCAAATCATGCATTGTTAACATTTTAAAAGATGGACATAATTAAATGCACATTTTGTAAGAGTGTATTTTCTCCTCTGAAGTAAACAGTAGTAATGTGTGTTCAAATTTTTTTTTATTTAAAAAAGTGACACTATCATATACTGTATTGAGAATGAAATAAGTAAATTCAATACTTCCCCTGCGAGAGATCATGAATAATTCATGAATTCCTTGAATTTTTCATATTTTATTCATGAAATGTTCATGAAGATCCTATGAACTTATTTTTGGACATTTTCAAATCATGCATTTTTATTCATGAAAGAAAATTGATGAATATTCATGAATATTTTTTTTATGAATAATTCATGAAGAGTCATAAAAGATTCATCATTTCAAGACTTCCAATAATAAGTTCATTTCTTCATGAACTAATCATGAATAATTTGATGAATTTTTTAGGCCAATGTTCATGAATGAATAAAATTCATGAACCATTGCATTCATGAATATTCTTGCTTATTTGTAAACAAAAAATGCAATATTTTTATTCATTTTTATTCATGAAAATGCATGAAGTCATGCTAAAAAAGTAACAGTAGATGATTTATAATTCTTGAAAGATGTCACAGAAATTGTTTGTTTTCTTGAACCATGGCAACAAAATTTTTTAAAAAACTTAAAATAGATAATTCTGACACATTAACCATAGTAAATGAGAAACAGTTATTATGGTAAAAGTACAAAAAATTTAAATTCAAATGCAACTTTTGCAGAATGTTTAAGGACTTGGTCAAAAGGAAATCCTAATCCTAAGCATGTTTCAAATTGTGTTTTTGCCAGAAATTGAACAGTTTACAACTTCCAGTCTAGGAAAAAAGTTTGTTCAGCACCATGTTTTCAGTGCTTTCAAGCAGTTTGAGCAGAGATGGTAATTCAAAAATCCTTATTGTCTCTCCATGTGGAATTTCCATAAATTTCATCATTTGGACTTTGATTGAATATCATGCAATTTTCATTTCTTTTTTCTTTCTTTTTCAAGAGCTCAGATTTTTGTGCAACAGAGTTTCTTGTCTTCTGCTATCAACATTTGTGAACTGCTTCATTTTCCTTCAAAAAGAAAGATTTTCTGAAAGTAAATGATTGTAAAACATTACTTTTTTGTATTTTCTTGCATTTAGTTTCATTTAATTTTGCATCAGAGACATTTTCAAAATTAAAACATTCTGAGTGGAATTTAAGCCTATTTTCTTGGACCAGCCATTTTGTAGATCAATCAAAGTCTATGAATGTTTTGAGTCTCAGTCTATAATTAATGTGTTAATGGTTATCCAAATCAAAGCAAAGTTGGACAAAAATTGCATTAAAAAAAAGAGACATATTTTTATCATAATTTTTTAATCATGTTAATTAGTTGTTATTTTACAAATAGACAGTTTTTTAGATTTTGACAAGATTGCCTCCATTTTTTGTCACTCACCAGTTATGAAGTAGCAAATTATATATAGTCTTCCTTCTTCATATTCTGTTATTTTCTTAAAAAGTTGACAAAGATCATAAACTGTACTGTTTATTGGACACACCTTGTGAGAGGGTGAAAAACTACAAATTACAAAAGCATAATAAGAATTTGATAAAATATCAAAATCATAAGCAATCATACAAAATTAAATGCGTAACTTTAACATGTGAGCTGAAGTGGCCTATGCCTATCGCATGCTGGAAATGCGCGGTTTTACAAAACATTGTAGTTGCAGAATTTAAACATGATAAAATATGCACGCATAACACTGTTAGAATACAGATGATCAAGTTAGATATAAATTCAATAAAACAATATAAAACTTACTCCTTAGGGAGGATCAATTAACAGCCAAAAAGGAAACCACAGGGGATCTTATCCACTCTGTTCTCTACCATATATAAAAATACACAAGGGAAGAATCGAAAGTAGCACACGATTTTTTAAAAAAGTCAAAAAACAACTTACTTGAGAAAAGTTACACAAATCCTGAAAGGAATGAGTGCCATTGGAAGACTTCGGGTACTACCCTATTGTCATCCGGGTGAGTTATCTTTTCTTGGGCGTAGAGTTTCACACTGTGCAGAAAGCTGGGGTTTTAGTTGGATAAAAGCTATTTTCGATGGATATATCTGGAATATTTTAGCCTGGATAAGTACTAGGACATTATTTGCGCTAGTTCCTTTCAAGATTTGTGTAACTTTCTCAAGTAAGTTGTTTTTTGACTTTTTTAAAAAATCGTGTGCTACTTTCGATTCTTCCCTTGTGTATTTTTATATGTGAAGTAGAGAACAGAGTGGATAAGATGCCCCTGTGGGCAAACCGCATGGCTACCATAATTAGTATAAACAGAATATTGAACCCGATCGAAATAAAATTATGCAATACGAAAACGGCACAGTGATTATGCAAATAATAGATCACAAATACTGATTCTTCCACTCTACAAATTCCCACTTCCAACGTCTCGCGCGTTTTCAAGTTTGCGCCTATTCAAAAATGTACGGTAGAGCTAAGAAATACCTTAGTTTCGAATTTCCAAGATTTCTGTTTAAAAAAATTACAAACACTATCTGAATAATTTTTCACTGAAAATACAATTTTTTTTATATCAAAATAAGTTTTATCAATGAAGAATTCGAATTTTTTACGTCATAAATTATACATGTATTGACTTTTAGTTTCGTATAGCAAGTATGGCGGCCCCCTATGACATGATTATGGCATGATAATAACAATCTCTCGCCTTCAGACAGAATATTCTGAGCTGTGAAGACAAATAGGAGAATTTAAACTACAAAATACGAATGTAGATTATGTCATAGATACTTTACAACCATGCAGTCTGTGCTTTATCATTTACGCACGAAACAAGGGAAACTTTTGACATTTTAACTGCACCAAAATTGAAATGTATAATAGCGTTTCGATCCAGGAATAATACGGTACAGTACAGACAAGTGATATAATTTTTTAGTTGTTAATAGATATATAAAACGTTTTTTACGAAGCTCACAAAGTTCATTTTCCAGAATGTTTCATTTTCCAACAACTTGTTTAAAGTTTGATGTTAGAGAAAATTCGGTCGAACAAAGTTGTGTGATGAAAAACGACATTAATTAAAGCATATTATGATGAATATAACTGTTTAATTGAAATTATGAAGAAACACAAGTAATGAATTTGAAAAAAAAATGCTGTCAGTGGTGATGCACTGTTTGTTTAATTAAAATCAAATAAAAACACGAAATGTTTAGAGATTTCATGATTTATTTTTTCAGATGGTGAAAGAATGTTATTAACTATAAATTATACCAGGGGCTTGTTCAACAATTGCATCTGCATACAAAAGTTGTATTATGAGAGTATTGAGTGTTTTCTGTCAATCATTTTTGTCAATTATTTTAGTCTTCATGAAAATTCATGAACATTCATAATACCTTGAACTCTACATTTTTTCTGTCTTTAAAATGAAAATTACCAATATTCATATATATTCATCATTTGTTCATGAACTACATTTTATGAATATATTCATGGGAATAAAGTTCATGAACCATCTTTATGAACCAGTCATGAACCAGTCATGAACACATCATGAATGTTCATGAACGATTCATAAAAGTTCCTGAAATTATGAATTTCACCTCGCAGGGGTTAGACCTTTGTGGAAAGTAAAATCCAAGATTTTTTACTGCTTTCTTTTTTACTTTGTGTATCTGAACAGAGACATATGACTTGAACTGCTTGTTTATTATTATCGGACTAGTCCATTTATGGAATGAACCAACCGCGGGATCGAAAAACAAATTAGAAAAATCATTTCTTTAGTGTTGCATGTCCATATACTGATGTATACATGTTGTTTTAAAGAATGATATAAAACTTGTAGATATAATTTCTGAGGCATTAGAATGAGGTTTTCATGGAAGTTAGCACACCCATTAACACAATAGAACAATTAAAAAAAAGGCTCGAATTCGAAGATATAGCTTACTAATGACATTTGGCGCGAAAAGATCGATTCACCCCTTTCGTAGAATACAAATGGACTGATCCAGTAGTATAGAAATGCAGAAAACAGGATACACGGATATGTTGAAACGGCGAATCACATGGAATAATCTGTTCCATGCAAAAAGAGTAAAGGAAGTAAACACTGCAGTATTTTGCATCAGTAATATCATTCTGTTTTCTGAAAAATGTTTCTTTTTAAAATGCAGGTAAAGAATTCCAATGCAAATCAGCTTGCACAAAATCTAGCTCTTTAGATATGATCGCACACTTTCGGATCTTGGAAATATCAATCCTTATACAGCCTGACGCCGTGACGTCAGGAAATAATGATGTTTCGTTCACCTTCATATTGATTCACGAAAAAGCTCATTCGAATTTATGTCGGTCTCGAATCATAATCTTTAAGCGGTTGGTCAATCAGATTTGTTCTCAATAAATGATGGGTCGTTATAATTATGGCTTTGAGTTTTACTAAAAGTATAAATGATCTATAATAAACAATTATTTGTTTGATGTTATTTATTACACATACCGGTATTAAAAAATCATGATATTAGGATCAAGGAACATAATCATTAATAATAAAATAATAAACACAGTGAAATGTTCATGAATTTCAAATAAATTTATAAATAACCATCCAATGTTAGTTGTTCAATTCTGCCATGAGAACTTTTAATTCGTGATAAGACGAATGGGAACGTATTTTAGTGATAATGTTAATCATTTTTGGAAAACGGTTTCATAGCAACGGAAGGAAATACCTAAGTTTATAATTTCTGCAAAAAAAATACAATTTAAACCTCAAATGTTAGTCTTTTTATTAAAACTCGGTTTACCTGATCGATAATATAGGGCCCCAGGCAAGTGTGAAGAGTCGAAAGAACATGGTTACGTCCTAACTCCCTTGATTAAAATTCACTGGTTTATTTGTAAAATGCCCTGCTCTCCTAGCTTTATTGTATGTAAATTCTTATATAAGTTATTGTTCTTTATCCCTCTTTCCTCAAAAAAGGATTTTTTTTTTAATTCTTTAAACTATAATATTGTTGTATTTAACATGTTATATGTGTAAAAAAAAAAAAAGACTCAGTTTCCATAAAGAGCATTTCAGTCAGGAGAAATCAGAGAAACGATGAGGTAATTATCTCTTTTTTGTCTACCATGCAATTATACAACTTTATTTCAAAGGTTACATATGTAATATTGCATGATTTTTACGTTTTGATGATCACAAACTATGGCAAATTAATTCTAAGAAGACCAAAGGTTCCATTAAACGAGCACATGGCAAGTTATAATGTCTGAGCGATTTTTTTTCAACTAAACAGTTAACTTCAATAGCGCCACATATTTTACATGTATCATCTGTATTATGAATGAAAATATGAAAATACAATCTGATTAAAATCAGATAAATCCTTTTATCCGATCACATAGATCGCTACACAAGGATCAGAAGAAACCCTATTCGGGGTCATCTCCTGGTGACCTTTGAATTATCCAATCAAATGTTTACTTTAGAGAATTGGAAAGTATCTCGGAATTCAGTTACAGAGGGGAAAGGCCCGATGATACTCGAATGGAAAAATCATGACCTAGTTTCTGTAGCCTGTCAAGAGAAGGACCACAGTCTTTTCTGTGCAGTAATACAATAATTACTTGCTTTTGCTTAGTTTTTTAGCTCTTTGTTTTGTACGAAACGATAAGATCCTCTCCGCAGCTGCTTTCACTTCTAATTTCGTTTTTCCGAATGTCGCTTAAGTATGACCTCTCTGATTGGTCAAAATTTTCATGAATATTTTTATTACAAAGGTCACCAGGAGATGACCCTAAATGGGGTTTTTTCAGATCCTTTTGTAGCGATCTATGTATGCGGATCAAAAGAACTGATTTTAATCAGATTGTATGAAAATATTACCTTTTTTTAAGAATAACCTGCATTGTTATCCGGCGAATACCATTAATATTGTTGACCAAGGTGTATATCAAATTAACACCAGCTTTCAACAAAAGTTCTTTGGTAGATTCAATGACCTTGTCAGCAAATACAATTTATCATTTGCTGACGGACGATTTTCATACTATTGGATACGCAATTTTTTACATTGAATTGTCGACGAATTTTTCTGGAGTTTTTATCATGACAAGGAGCACACGGTGAGTGTAACCGATCGGCAAGTCCACTCTTCTATGACATCTCGCCCCGCCTTTAAGGTTTTAAATATCAGTGTTTACTCTGCTCTAATAAATTTGTATTGGTTAAATGACTTTTTAGCTTGAATACTGATCGCTATCTCCATATATTTCATTTAGTAAGCATTCAAAGGAAAATATCATGGTGAACCGTAAGCGCAAACATTTAATGTAGTTTATTTTTTTAATTCTGCCTCAGCAGGTATTTTACCCGTTGCTGTTAGGTTCTAATGAAGTGTGTAATTGTGCACGCAGTATAGGATAGAAGTACTTTTTAAATGCATGTTTTGTAGGCGATCAATTTCCCTTTTTAACTTGGAAATATGAAAAAAAACTGTTGATGTGAAGGGTCGCCTTACGTAAAAGTTATGTTATTTTAATCCTCAAAGCTATCCAAAGAAATTCCATTTGAAATTCTTTGGTGACCACCCCCCCCCCCCTCCCCCCAACTAATCACACATCACATACACACTACAAATTGTTTCCGAAAAATACCGGAAACATGAGACAGGGAAGAAATGCTTAGAATATATTGCATAAATACAGGAAAGAAAACAGCTGGCATGAAGTAATAAATTATCTCCCACGAGCTCATTTTTATAATTTGCATCATGGAGGACTTTGCTTTGCAGAATGCCCAGCAATTTTGGAGGCAACAAGCACATCTTGATTCATTAAAAAGTAAGTTATTCCTATCAAATAAATTAAAACGTTTAAATTTGTAATTATCAAAATAAAAAAATTAAGATTAATTTTGTCACCCACGTGGCGCAGTGGTACATGTAATAGCGACTCCGTTCTAGAGTCGCGAAGAAAGGAGTTGATCCTTATGTCACGGGTTTGAATCCAAACTGTTCCTTAGCCATGTGCTTACATCAGTTAATGTCACGAAAGCTGGCAAAAAAGATCCCTCACTGCTCAATGGTTATAACTGCCGGAGTATATGAAAAAATTTGTAGCTCTTCCCTGGCAAGTGGTGGCTTCTGCATATATGTGAGGGGACGTTAAAAAACATACAAACAATAAAAACAATTGTAGAAAAAATGCATACCATGCGAAGGTGTAAATATTTAAGTAAAAGTAAAAACACATGACCCTAGTGATAATGAAGTGGTAAAAATAAATGAATTGGTGTTACCTTTTACCAACAATCAAATAATCTCACGGTTTATCAACATTAACCGTCACGGTAGATCAGTCGGTAGAGCGCTCGCTCCGTGATCGGAAGGTCCTTAAATTGAATCTCTTTCACGACTGACCTAAGTCGATAAAAAAAAGGTAGAAACTGTTTCTTCATAATGCGTTCTGCACTTTGAAGTGACACTCGCCTTCGAACGAGAACTTTAAAACCGAGGCCCCATGACATGTTGATACGACAAAGATCCGTCACTGTTCAAAGGCCATGAATACCGAATAAGGTCGAAATTTGAAGCTCTCCCCTCCCCAATATGAGTAATAACATCTCGAATGGGACGTAAAATAACATACAGTCGATCAATAAATCAACCCATCAAAATTATTTTCATTGATTGTATCTCGCACTATACATCGCGTTTATGTTGCTGAGTTGCTAAGTTATTCTGTTGCATGTATGATAAATTATTTTTTCTATGAAAATCTCTGTTCACTTTAATTGATAATTTTGCAGTATCGAAAAAATCAAACACATGGCATAATACATGTAAATGCTTTTATAATTTTTAATACATTTTAGTGTCTTTTGTTTTCAAGCTTTAATGCAATATTTTTAGTCATAGAAACAAGATACCAGCAGGGAAGAGGACCGTGTAATATCTTCATACTGGACACATCATCAAATGTCGGAGAGGACGGCTTCAAACAGATGAAGGAGACTTTCTGTACAATAGTGGATGGTATAGCATGCTATTATTCTAGACCTATGGTTTAACATGCTATTATTCTAGACTGTGGTTATTATTATTGAACGTGATACCCCACGTGACGCAGTAGTTAGAGCGTTTCTTTAGAGTTGCGAAGTAAGGAGTTGATCCTTACGTCGTGGGTTCGAATCCATCTTCCATATATACTAGTAGTCTTCTACAATCTGAATTGCTGTTTATCTTTTTTCACTTTTTTTTAAACATAATATATTTATTACGTCACTCTAACACATTAATTTTTTTTTAGAGTTTTCAAAATATCCGGGGATAGATGAAAATGTGGCTGTAATTATATGCGGAAGGACAACAGCATTCAGATACCACTATTCTAATCAGTACAATCAAATAAAACGATGTATTGGTAATTATCTTTCATTTGAAATTCACACATTAATTTACACTGATACAGTTTTTTCCTGTGCTTACCCCTTTTAAATCCGAGTTTTTGTTTAAAGTGACAAATGGTCTCATACAGGAAAAATAACTGACAATAACTAAGTAACAGCTGAAAAATGAAAACACTATAGGCATTGCTGTTACAGTTTTAAATTTGATCAACCATTAAATATTCGATTTGTTTATAAGATGATTAATTATTTTGTTTTGTTTGAGTTTTTTATGCAACATATTTGACCATTTTCCTCGTACAATCTGCTTAAAATTGTAATTCCTTGAAATTTATTTTATTCAGATTTGAAAGGAATGAATTGTTTCAACCTTTGCACTTAACATATTATCTTGAAGTGCTTGTTTTTTTTTTTCATTTTATTCACAGTTTATAAATCATAACATTTATTTCTTATACTTGTTCATTCTATACATTATTTATTTTTTATCATTTAATTTTTTTGGCTGCAAATTAAAGTTCAAGGTGTTAATTTCAAAGCTATAACAACTCTTTAAGTGACCAAAATTCAAAGAAAAACATAACATTAGATACGTAAATTTGTTAATATGAAAAGTTAGTATAATACAATTGAGATATGCAATTGTAAATGTTTTTTTATATATATATGTATATGATAGAATATTTAAAAATGTTTTTGTTATAAAGATTCATTTATCATTTCAACAGATGACGTAGAACATGTCGGACCATCACCTCTAACTGCTGCTTTCCTTCTCTCTTTAGGAGCAATTTCAAATGGAGCAGGTAGCTTTGGTATTCTCTTTACAAATCAACTGAATGTTGTGAAAAAGATTTAGAATAAAAGTACATAAGATTAATTAGTTAACAAACAGGATATTTCTTTTTTTTTCAAAAATGCAATCTCTAAGGGTATTCAAAGATGATGGGAGAGTTCCATGTTCATCCACGTATAATTCTCATTTCCGCGGGAAAACCGACAGATTTTACCGTTATGGGGGATGATAAATTACCACTTCATGTGCATGATCAGGTATGCAAACAACGTACTGTTAAGAACTTTTATGCTAAGAGTGATCGAATTCAAATTTACTGTCAATCAAAAGGAAGTGTTCCCTTTTAATTTTTGTACTTTATTTTGTTTCAATATTAAAGTAGAAATTGTCAATTTTTAGGAAGCGATATTAACACTTGTGTAATGTTTTACAAAGGTAAAAGATCATTTGCTCCAGATTGCCAAAATCATTGGAAGAGTCAATCCAATTTTTTGCATCCCAGTCGGCAGAAATCCAGACATGGTAAGAACTCTAATGCTTGAGGTACAACAGTCTTATGTTCCTTTGGTAAAGAAAATCAATCAATGAATTTCAGTTTTTATAAGATATATATACACAATATACATGTATTTCATGAGTCATGAAATAACAGTCATTAACGTAGGATATAAAACATATAACATCACTTTTTTTTAATGTTTACCGGGAGAAATCTAGCCTTAGGGTTATTTATAAGGAAGAAATCTATTTAGATCGGAGATTTGAATAATATATTAAAACATTATATGTATATGATATAATATTTAGAGTTTATTTCTTATAAAGCTATAGTTTGAAATCTATGTTGGATAAATCTAGCTAAAAAGGCTAGATGCGATGAAGGATTTTTTTCTCCAATAGGTAAACTTAGGATTGATATCTGCCCTTTCAAGAGGAGGAAAGATTATCTATCCCTATGAAGCTAAACAGTTTGCTAAATATTCCGAAAATATGGTAAAATAAATTTGACTATAAATCAAAATTTAACATGAATGAAATGTAATTAGTTGAAAATAAAAATTAATATGATGAAAATGTTTTTATAGAATACTGAAACTAAGAATACATCTTATAGTTTTCATCCACATGATATTGACTTTTTTAGAGAGAGAGAGTTTTGTTTGAGAGAGAGAGAGGACCTGGTCAAAATTGCCATTGTCCTTCTGTTCATTATTCCCAATGTCCATTCATCAAATCATCAGTTCGTCTGCCTGTTTTGGTTTTTATTGTTTTCTAGAAACAGGTTGCCATAAAAATTTCAAAAAAATTGAAACCTTTCATAAAAAAGATCTTCAAATAAAATTTCAGCAAATGAAGGATCACGCGTCTTTCAAAGGAAATTCGACGAAATTAAAAGGTTGTCAAATACTGAGTGATCATTGAAAGACGCGTGAAGATAACGAACAGTGATAAATTAAACAAGGCAAAACATTGGCAGAGCAAATACAGACTTCTGAAAACAGAGGTTGGATCACATGCCATGGAGAAGTAACCTTCCTCTGACGACCAGTCACTTCCTCTGTGTACCCCTTATCATAATGAAGTTTACTGTATAATTAATTAATAAACAATCTAGTGTGAAAATAATTAATGATCTAAATTTGTTTAAAAGATGTCATAAACATTCGGTCTTAAGTCAAATGCTATATTAATATATGATGATTTTATCCATCATAGCATTAGCTTTTATTTTACATTAAACAAGATTGTTGATATTCTTGTATAAATAGAAGACATGTTTGTCAATAACATATCTCGTTTTAGAAATCGAAAAACTTTGTTTTAGAAACACTGAACCAGAAAAGACCGGTCTTATTTTATGACTGTTTATTATGATTTTGTTAATAGCCGCTAAGAGCCAGGCTACGATAAGGAATGAGGTTAAACATTGTTGGAAATCTTTAATTTGAAATCATATTCATATAGATCAAAGTCATGACAATAAATATTATTAAATTATTAATTATAAATCCTCATTTCACAGAAAAACAAAGCAATTGTAACCTTTTAGAGCTTATTTTACTTTTTTCTATTAGATGAATTAAAATATTCATGTTATTTTTAGAAATATAACGGAAAACAGTTTTTACAATCAATGTCTATCATCTATTGATAATCTGATTTTAATGTTTTCCGATGTGTTGAACAGCTTCTTAATTCACTGTATGAATTACTGGGTGAAAGTGAATAAAGTACGCTTAAAAAAAAGAACTGATCAAAATTTTTGAAAATTCTTCTTTTCATGATTTTTTTTTAATTAGAGAGTAGCGTCGATCATATGCTCAACGACAGAATTAAATGAACTTGACAGAGGAACGATTTCACTTTTACTGACTCAGGCTCTACCTGGCAGGGAATTCACTGAAAAGGACATGGTACTTAGTTACTTTATACATAATTTTCTATTTACATATTTTACTAATTTGAATTATTCAAGTCAATTTTATAAATAAAAACTTTATTCGTGAAAACATTATAAACTCTGAGAAATTTATAATTATTTTTACATATTTTTGAAATATGTTCAAAGAAATTGTACAACTTTTATTCGCGTGCGAGAAATTTTTTCGACAATTGAATATTTTCAAGATTAAAGTAAATGATTCTTTCTACAGGACGACATTTGCAATATATGTTCGAAGAAATTATTATTTACATCTATGGACGGTATGCAGATAAGGGGTCACGATTCAGATAATGTGCCAGACACCTTCCCAGAAAAAAGCTCCCAGCTGATACCTCTAGGTGGTAGGGTTAAAAGAGGTCCAGATTGGAAGTGGGAAAACCAGGACAATTGTAGTCCTGGAACTGTAGTCGCATATTCCAGAGATGGTACATGGTTTGATTCCAATATGAAAAGTTGTTATCAAAGCAAAACAAAAATAGTACAAATGTGCTTAGGATTATGCACCATGGATATTTCAAGGTCAAAAAATTACAAATCTTTTTTTTATCTACATTCACAAATATATTAAGCAATTTTTTTAATAAGTTTATAGAATTAATTACATATATATCAAAATTATATTTGGCATATAGAAAAAGTTTTTAGTTTTAAAATTTGATCATTCTATATATCTTTATATGGAGCTCTTCTTTTCAAGGATATCAAAATAGTCTGAAAATGGCTAATCATCCCACAGCCTCTTTACAAATGCAAATTAAAATATTTTTGAAAGATCCAAAATATAATATATTGTTATTATTTTTGCATTTTTTTTTCATATTTAGCATTCAAAACCACATAAATTAAAAAACAGTATTTAAGCAAATAAAAATAATTTTTAGAATAATTAACATATATTATATTGAAATTGTAGCTGGATGGTTGATTGTACAGTGGGATACAGGCTCTTCAAACAGCTATAGATACGGGACAACAAATAACGAGGGAAATAAATATGATGTAGTTGTTTGTGAAGAACCTCGAATATTGCACAACGAACTCATAGCTATTGGTTGTTTGGCTCAGAGAGGCATGGTTTGATGATTATATAAATAATGGGATATCTTGCACAAAAAAGGCTTTCAGTATCACAATTCTTTAAAGGAATCCGTGACAATTTTGATTTATGAAATGAATATGGAATTTGGTGACTTAAAATTTGCACCTTTGGAATTCCTTTAACTTACCAAATTTATTTAATTTAGGACCAGATTGGGAACTTGGTAATCTAGACGGTGGAATAGGAAGTTTCGGTGCGGTGTATAAAGTCAAATCGAACGGAGTCGTATATGTGCGTTTCCTTTTTTTTTTACATAAACATTTTTATGGTTTTCAATCTTTGTATTAATTTTTTTTAAAGTAAAATTTATAACATTTTTGTGATTTTGTTCTTTTTTTTAAAGATCAATTGGCAAAATGGTAATAGACATGACTGCAGATATGGTTTTGATGGGAAATTTGACTTGAGTTTGTGGTAATAATTCAACAATAAAACAAGCATAATATTTTACTAATTAAACGCAAAGGAACATAATTCTGATGATCACAAAACCAAACTTTTTAATTAATTTCTTCATATGACTAGTTATTGTTAATTAATTTGTAGATAAATATATAGCATACATTAAGTGGAAAGTTGGATGTAAACAAATACACTAGAATTTGTTTCTGTTAAAGATTTATTGATTGTTAACAAAAAATTAATGTAAAATATATTCTGAAATATTTCTTTAGTCTTAAATTAGATCATCGATCTGAAGAGTCAATGAATAAATTTGTTACGTTAAAAATAATATCAAAATTTCTACAATTACATACATCTCACAAAAATATATTTCCTTATTTAAAGTCTTATTTCTTATCTTTCAACAATTTTAGCGATCCTTTTTCATCGGAGGTTAAAAGATTTTTACAAGAGCAAAAGAGACAAGCTCAATGTAAACTACCAGAAAACATGCAACATATCTATAGCAGCGCACCAACATCTGGTAAGTATTTAAAATTATGAATTTTATTTTTATTTTCATGTTGAATAAGATTTTTGATTATAATTTGTGATAATAATAATTCTTGTATACATGTATATAAAGCAAATTAATACGGGAAAAGTGGACAAGAAAATGATACTAGAAGAAGACACAAGTGCAAAAGCAGGTCCTCTTTTAAAGACGCCACCAAAGGGGCGCTATTTCAAGAATGATGCTGTTGAAAGTGATTCGGCTTCGTTAGATTTAGAGGCAGATTGTACTGAAATGTCAGATTTATCCTTAAACTGTGATCAATTTTTATGGAAAGATCAAAATGGTGTCTGGAATCATTATCCTAAGAAGATCAATGATAAAATCTTAAAGTGTTACAAAAAGAATCCTAGTTCAACTGTTGTTATCTCATTAAGAAATCAACTGTGAGTTCATATAGTTTCTAATATCAATGAAATAATAATACTGTAATGGCTAACTCTGATTATTTCTTTGTCTCTTTGTCTTTTATATAAGAACATGAAAAAATCAATTTCAAAATTATTTTTACAGATATAGAGTGAATTTATCAAGGAATGTACAAACAGACTTGACCACAAGAAAGGAACTTGAAATAAAATTCGTAAAAGGCGACTAAGTGTTATATACAGAAGAATCAAACTTTATCAACTCAATGAAAGCGAAATAGTAAATTGGCTATTCAGTTCAGTACCGACTTTAAGAAGAAATGAAACGTTCAAAATATCCTTTTCCAAGATTATTTCATGCCACAATTAAATGAAAATTTATTATCGCAGAGAAGAAGAGATAAAATGACAATTATTGATACTGTTATTTATATCATGCATTGTAATTATTTCTTCAGGTCACGTGTCAAAGCAATAGAGAGTCTGAACAATTAGAGTGTCCGCTTCAGATCACGTGTCAAAGTAATAGAATTAAATGCCTGTCCACTTAGAGTGGATGCTAAAATATGTAAGAACATACATTTGGATTGATCTCTGCTTTCTAAATCTAGACTAGATGGTTAAATTTGCTTAGAAAAGAATCTATTAGCCCGGGTTCGATTACCGTTCACCAGGCTGGGTTAATGCTAAGACCTAAGCATCTCAACTTTGGGATGAGACTTCAAAAACTAAAGACCCATTGAATTATCAGACGTCTGCATGATCAAAAACCACTTTACTGGTCAATGAGCCAGACTATTAAGTTAAATACAATGTATGCATAATTTTCATCTGATAAAAACATATAAAAATTAATTTTACATATAGAATAGTATGATATATATGCTTATAACATTGCCATTTAAAACATAAAACAGGAGTACTATGTAACACAATAGGAAAGGGATCACATTTTTTTCTTTTTTGATAAGTAATTTGAAATGAGAGGTAAAAAAAGTGAGTAAATCTTGTTTCATTTATTCATCAAAGTATTCGTTTAGCAGGAAATTTCTGTTGAAAGATTTTTTTGTGGAACACCCTATTTAAGATTGCATAAATTGAATTGATACTGACATAATAAATGGGTGATATGTTAACCATCAATGGAAAGTAAAAAAAGGTAAAAGATTTTTACCCTAGCTGAAATTTTTGTTTAGATAATGGAAATTCTCAGGTTTTGAAAGTGTGGCCATCAGGAAACAAACATCAAAGGAGATTGCAGAATCTTTTTCAGAAATGGATTTAAATTCGTTTATTCAAAGTGCTGAATCAAAAACTCTTTTAAAGAGTGGAAAGTATTAATGTTGTGGAAGGTTTAAACTTTCTTTTCATGGATTTGCTATTTTGTGGTGTACTCAACTTAATTTCCTTGCGTTTGGCTTTATAGCATTTTTTGTTTAACATTTTTACCGGGTTATTTCTGGACAATCTGAATCTTAAAACCTAAGCTTTTTTTAAGAATTGATCCGATTTTCTATCATTGCTATCCGACCTCATAAAACCAAAGGTAATTATTATTATCGGACGTACGGTACATTGATAGAAAAAAACGCTAAAGGCTCAATGACGTCACAGAAATGTTTTAAGTAAAGTTCTAATGATTAAGCCTTTCACCTTAACAGCATATGTTGACGTATCAGTGACAATGAATATTATCTGTTGGAACATAAAACAATACACAATCAATCAATCAATTACAAGAAATACTGTACAAACCAATCTAAGAATAACATAATTTGATGATTCCTAGTTAGTAGACAAAATTAGAAAACATTGTCAATTTTAAAATTGTCAGGAGTTTATGAAAGACATTGGTAAAGCCCGTGTTAGTTTCTAAGCGTATTACTTTTAATTATAATCATGATTTTCTCGTACTCTTATATCAGTAGCTTCTCTTGTTATTGTATTCACCATTCTTTTCTTCTGAAGATGGATTCGGCATCTAAAAGGTGAAAATGGAATTAAAAAGCAATATACTACAATTCTTTTGAATATAAATAAATTCGATTTTTAAATAAAACTCAAAGATACTCTGACATTTAATCCTAGTCCTAAGTGTAATCATGTTAACAAGAAAACGTATGCACTCCTTTGATTGTATGCAATGTTATGAAGTCTTATAATGCCATTTTTATTATAATCTTAAGTTTTCAATCATTCTGCATTTGGAAAATATAAACAATAGAAAAGTAGCCAACAAAGAAAAGTGTAGAATTTATGAAAACTGATTTGAAATCACAATCCAGTTTTACTTGTTTTTTTTATATCTTTAGTAGAGACAATTCAATATCACGAAAGATTTATTCACGACACAATTTATATTTTGACACAAAAAGAGAGGTTTTTTGTGTAATGTTTAAACATTTTTTATTTTAGAAAAAAATGAAGCCCCAAACTTACAATTGACCATTTAGACGAACGACAACACTTGTTCCAAAAGCATTTGTATAATTTTTGTCTATGATCTCATTCGCTTCTTTTGGAAAATCATTCCACTTCCCGTCTTCACCTTTCCATTCCCACTTCTTACACGTAGAAAGGGCACTCGTATTCCTGAAATACCGCCTCTTTTTCTTATTCACTAATGAAGTGTTATTCATATTGTCCCTCACTCCTCATGGGAATTGATTCTACGATGCGTGAAAAATTTCCCTGGGAGCTGGAGTCGTTATATGAGTGCACAGACACACTGACAACTCTCGTCTCATCATGCCCTACAATAAATCATGTGAACATAATTAATTTTACTATTTCTTTTTTGTATTGCGTTTCTCTCATGTTTCCATAAATTTTTTTTTGTATAAGAGATAAAATTTTTTATATCAAATAATACATACATGTAATTAACCCTGTATTCAAAAGAGTTATTCCAAAATCATACTTCATTTATATAAGCTTCCTAGGGATTGTTGAAAAGTTTACCATGAACAACAAGAAAAAAAAACAATGTGTATATATACAGGTATGTGTGTCAATCTACTATTAGGCATTAATTTAAAAGACAACAACAACAAAAAATTACTTGATGATTTTTCCCTGGTGGCATAAGGTCCGGTTGCTTTGGCGTCAAGTGAGCGTTTTCTTAACATTTCTTTTATGCTGGGATCAAATGGGTCACTATAAAAAAAATGTAGGATTTTATTTCCATTGCATGTCCCAGGAAAACTTTGATTGAATAGCTATTCATTCACAAGCTTAAAAGTAAACCATCGGTAAGATAAATTGAACTTACCATAACTCTACATCAAATTTGTTTTTATATCCATATCTGTAATTACTCTTGTTTCCATTTGGCCATCTGACCTAAAATAATAATAATGTTTTTAAGTATGATTAAAGCCCTTTGATCATTCAAGAAGAAACCAAAGCAGTAATCATATTACATTTTAATAAAAGCATATGAACAGAAAATAAAGACGTGTGGAATTCATTACTTAATTAGGCTCTAAGGGCTTAAAAAGACTATGTTTCAATTGTATACATGTTAAGGTTCTGAAAAAAAAATTAAAGAAAGACTTTAAACACCTGGAGAGAATGGCAAGTAAACATAAGCAGATGTACGAAAGCCCAGAAGGCTCATTCGAGATTCGAGTTTCAAAATACGAGATTCGAAATGCGAGATTCAAAATTAGAGTTTCGAAATTCAATATCCAAACCAACCAATCAAAAGCGAGTTCAACATTTGATTACTCCCCTTTATTATGTTTTTACTATCACGAAATCGTTGAATATATTCATAACAAATGGGGCATTTGCTAAAATGACAACGCAAGAAAAAATATTTTATTTATCAAAACGAAATAAAAATAAAATTTGGGTTACATTTTGAAAAAAATACAAAATCTTATTTTTTTTAATTAAACAAAACAATAAATACGTTAAATTAAAGATATTATATGGTTTTATCGTTGACTTGCGGAATATCTTTGTCGACTAATTTTTTTTTAGTTCATTGATGAGGGAGAAAACTAATAATGTTTAGATATGAAATATTAAATATCATATCTACACTGCACAGCAATTTAAGGGTATATATTTCATTACATTTAATAAGGATACATTTGTGCAATGAGACTAACTGCTGAATCGAACTGTAGCATTATAAGGTTTTACTAGTATAATTTACTCTTTGACCATAACGCTCTTGTCAGAGACTAAAATATAAAACGTACCATTACGCTTTAGTTCTCCAGCTAATTTAGACTCGTCTACTATTTGATATCAGATAAGATAAATGCCGCATTTATTTTATTTCATATTGCCAATCTGTATTTTATATATAATTTTTAATTAATTCAAGAAATCAAAGCCTTAGACCAAAATAAGTAATTGAAAGCTTAATTTTTATGTATTTCCTCTATGAGCAAACGAGCGCGACTTTTTGTTTATCAATATTATGTTGCCTTTCAAGTTTTACAAAGTAACATTTTCACTGTGTTTGGAAAAATGGGCAGGTGGAGTGGGGTTATTGTTAATCTTTAGAGACTTGTCACTCATTTTTATGAGCTCATTATTGTGTCAACAACCTTTTAAAAAAGTAAACAATACAAAAATATATATACTCTTGATATAAGTAATCTATT